AATTATTTAATTACAATTGTTTTATTTAATAGTGCACTAAATAGATTACACTTGTACATCTATAAGTTTTGCATGTGTGTGTGTGTGTATGTGACGACGAGGGAACCAGATATTTCCGTGCAAGGATCAATGCATTACTGAGGAGAGCGAGCATTGTAGTATTATCAATAGTAGAGTATTGTAAAATTATTAAAATGGTACTTACCTAACCTAACCCAACCTACAGTGAAAAATTGAAATTCACGTTACGAAATTGACGTTATACAGCCGTTATAGGTTTGTGCGAATGAGGTCGGCCACAACTAAGTTTGTCCTGGCAAAAGCCAAAATATGACGTTTTTTTCCCCGAGTTTCGTTGTCACTTCGCGTTTTGTCCCGGCGCTTCTGAGATTTGTCTGATTTCGGTTTTTGTCCGTAACAGATGTACTAATAGTCATATTACTGAGATTGGTAATTTATAATATGTAGCTTTTTTACTGGTAGCATCTATTGTCATGTCGTCGTAACATTAAAATGACAATCGTGTACGTGATTAGATTTCGTGTTAATTAATGAGAATAAAAGATACTTTTACTATTTTATCATAATTTATCGTAACATTATTATGACAACAAAAACCCTCCGTCAACTACATATGAAACGCTCGCTCAAAAGGCGGCTAAATAATTTCTCATATTCATTAGTACAGAAATTGTTTATAACTGTTTGGGTTTGATGACGTGCGATAATTCAATACAAATAATTTAACTTAGCCTAGCGGCTACTAATATTTACGACGAACAATTTAAAGATACAACGCCGACGTGGATATTTACATCCCCATTTTATAATTTATTAATATTACCATAACACTATTTAAATACATACTACGAGTAGCCGCTAAGCTAAGTCAAATGATTTGTATTAAATTATCTCTCTTCGTCAAATACAAACAATTATAAACAATTTCTAATGAATTTAAGAAATTACTTAGCCCCTTTTTGATTTCTAATTTTCGTTTTTATTTTTTTTCAACGAGGGTTTTTGTTGGGATATCACTAATTTCGGGTGGTTTTCATTTGGGGCGAAATTTAAACGGCCCTTTAAATATGTGCAATGTGTCATTTTGGCGAGCTTGTATAGTGTTTGCGAAGTCTTAATTAATAGATTTTCAACAATCATTTCAATATTTGGTCGCACTGTCTCACAAATATAAGCTTAATGTCGTGTTTGCTTCGTAGCCAAAATGTGTACAACACATGCGGTAATAATACTGTTCCGATACGGACGGTATGTTGCGGTGTCTACAGGCTCCGGTCGCGTAATAGCGTAATTAAGACAGCTGATAAGGCGGTGCATTGCCGCGCGCTGTTAATTGTTTTCAAATATTCTAATCGCGTTCGTACCGCCGCGGCGGCGCGCCGTCGTCGCGGGTCCACGGCACCGTGGTACGCGGTCCAGGAGCCGCGTTGACGGTCATTTTGTTGATGCTCGATCGATTCCGCCATAGGTATTCGAAACCTCAGACCGTCCGCGTCACACGCGGGAGCGTCAACTTCTCCGTTCCGTCGCGCGCCGTTCGTGTGATTCACAGTGCAAAATCGCGCGAGTTGTCGTCGCCCCCCCCCCTCCGCGTGTTTGGGTTGCGCAAAGTCGTCGGCGGTGTCGCCGCGTACGACCGCGTACCTTATCAGCTCGTCGCCGTCGTCCTGGCGGCGGTCGACCGCGCGTGCGAGCGCCGTCAGCCGGCCGCCGAACCCCCGGATGACCGAAGGCCCAACCCGATTAGGTTATTTTTATTTTTTTTTTTTTATTATTTGTTATTATTTTTCGATTATTGTTATTGTATGTGTCATCGGCGTGTGAAACGTGCGTACGTACACCGTATTTTGTACTCGCGCGTACGTTTTGCGGTATCGTAGTGTTTGAACGGTCCGCGCTTATTTCGTTGTGCGGCCGTTGGCCCGCGCGATCACACGTGCCCGTATTATGCCATTATGTATACACGTATAGTACTAGTCCCGTGCCCAATGATATACTTTGTTTCCGTTTATTGAAAATGCGCGGTGTAGTCCGTAAAAGTTCCGAGAGTCGCTCGCCTTTTCCCTCAGCGCGAGTACCGCGCGGCCAGCTCGCGTCGTAGGTACACGAGCTCCGTGTCGTGTGTGTACGATGTATTGTACAATTTTACGAGACGCAAAAAAAATAAATGCAATTCAATTCTGTCGAAAAACCCTGTTGTTTTTTTCTCACGTAAAGTTACCTATCTTAACTCATTATATTCTCGAGTACCCACTCCCCCCCCAACCCATATGGCAATATACGACTTTTTTTTTACGAAATATCGAAGTATATAAATATAAAAAAAAAAAAAAAACAAAAAATTATTTTAACGTTTTTTGTTTAAAAACGAATATTAACCATAATTATAAAAAAAAAAAAATGTACAACATACAAAGATAAAATCACCCAAACGATCGGTTAGTTTTTCGCCCAAACGATGTATGATTTTCACAGATAAATTTTGGGTCACTCGCCCAAATTAATGACGCCTCTCATTTTTTTTTTTTTTTTTGGCTATCATTTTGGATATAGTCAGGGTATGTTTTTTTTTATCGAGTGAAAAATTATGGGGACAAAATGTCTTTTGTTTTATGGATTGAATAAATGAATATAGAATGTCTAGTTACGAATATAGCTTATTATGAATGTTGCTGGAAAATGACACCATAGTTATACTGCACTTATACAGCGATAAAATAAATAAACAAAATTGTTTTTTTTCGCCGCAAACGGCCACCGTTGCAAACAATGCGTAACAACATATACATTATACATTGTTAAATTGTTGAAAAAAAAATACCGTTTGAAGTAAAAACTAAAATTCGAAAAAAGTTGAAAAGTAACTTATTTTTTTATTCACTTGATAGTTTTTGCATTTTTTTGTTTCCCTATAACAACCTGTAGAACACGATGGTCATCTATTAAACTCGGGATTTTTCTCCCAACCCCCCTCCCCCCGCCAAACTTTTTCGTTTATTTTTTTCCCCAGAATACCTGGCACGTGCCAATAGTAATAATAATTATAATAATGTTTACCCACGACCTGCAGATTTCTGTCACGTGTACACACGTGGATCACTTCTCCGGCGCCGCACTCGTGTTCACGTTTAATAGATTATGATCGGTTGACGGAACGACATAATAATAACAATATAAATGATAATAAAACGACCAGCATTAAATCCGACTACGTTATTATAAAGGTTCTGACGCACTGCAGCGGTACGATACCGATACGGTAAAAAAGGAACAAATAATTCTCAAAATATAACATTAGAATATTTAACATTGTTTCAACTTGTTTATGGTAAGTGAACACTATAAGTTTTGTTGGATAATAATTCAGTGTCCCGATTCAAAACTGCGAAAACTCAAAAAAATTAAAAAAAAAGAAACTATATTTCACGACGTCACGCCCAAGTGGGTATCAATGTGCGGTAGGCAGATATAAAAAAAAGAAGTTGGATAACAGATTCGGCGGACAAATTTTTTGTAGGTAATGAACAATTCGAGTCGATGTAGGAATTTCTCATAGTAATAACTGGAGCGATTGTCTGTGAGACGGATAAAACAACCGGGTTCCGATGTGACGCAACTCATTATGATAATTGTCCTCACGGAACTGATTATGCACCGTGATTTCACCGGGGACGTGATTAACGGCCGGCGATCGTGAAGTTTCCGTGCGGCACTGTAATACTAATGAGCCGTATCAATTAAAAAGGAATTTTTGTTTGATAAGTTCACGGTCTTGTGGGTTCCTGTATGTTTCATTTTTGTGTCTGTCCGTCCGTTCTTTCCCGCCCGACAATGGTCACCAAAGTATAATTGTGAACATAGATTTCGATGTGCGTGCAACACAATATACATGTATATAAACATAGAAGAAAAATGTGTGATATTGCCGATAGTCTTGTACGTAAAGTGACCGGTTGATTGTGCGTGCAGTGTTTGCGCGTGCGGTCAACGTGCCCACGTCCGATCCATGACCTAAATACTAATGGGACAATGCGGCATCGCGGATAGGCATTCTAACAAACTGATATGGAATACACACTGCAGGCACTGTGTGTAGAGTTGTCACGTAGGTACCAACAGTATTATTACGTATTACTTATATCAATGTAGTTAGTTAAGAAAAAATATATGTACAAAAATAAATACACACGAGAAGTGTACGCTGTTGAAATAATTAGAAAAAAAAAAAAAAAAAAAAAAAAAAAAAAATATGATTGTTTTGTGCTACTAGGAGATGTCGCGGGAGAAGCTCGTGCGGAAGTGATATTCGCAATATTTGGGTGCCGGGTATGGGTGCGGCATTCCGATCGATGAGCGTGCGACCGTTCCCCTTACTACGTCAGTGTTTTTTTTTTTTTTTTTGGTAGGTTCTTCTCATCCCCTCCCCGCTACGCCCCGCGGTGTCACCGGTATTGTAGACCTATTGTAAATTCCAGGTAGTGTTAGTATTTGTCGAGTTTTTTTTATTACCTAGGTGAACGATATACATTCCGACCATGTTTTGTTTTCTATCCTTAATTTTTTTTTTTAACTACGCCGTGTCAAGATTCTACGTGTCCCATAATTATTATAAGTAAATGTTATCGTTTATGTAATCCCCCTGCTAGCGAGGTCTCGTTTGTGTTAAATTCTTGCCCATTGTCCCGAGTGGACCAACTTAATAGCACCGCCGTGAGACTGTGTTTTTGTTATTTTCCCACACTATTGTTATTTAGTCAACACAGATTGTTTACCTGTTTAGTTACCATTTTTTTTTCTCTCTTTCCCCTCTGATATTTCAATTTTAATCTCACAAGTATCAAGCTATCAACTTCGAAAAATTTATTGTGTCAGTTATTATGAATTTTATATGGCCGAAAGTACTGGGCGACGTATAGTAAAAGGTCCTGGACCGATAAACGGACGTAACAGAAATCCGGATGGTTTCGATTCCCACCAACATGAGTGTTAATTCTCCGAACCCGGGTAGAACTTCAATTCCTGAGAAAAGGGGGGAAGTAGGTGAAAATGAGATACAGCAAATTATGAAGCTTCTCAAAAAGTCAAGCGCCGAACAGCAGAAATCCAATGCCGATCTCAAGAAGATGATCCACCAAGCGTATATTGAGCAAACACCGAGACTTGCAGCGTTTCAGGTGGAAATAACCGCTCATAGGAAAGAGTGTGTGGAACGATGGCAAAGGACCGACGTTCTCTTACACATGGTCGAAGAAGCGAAAGTGACCAACGATCACCGTAGATTAGAACAGACTGCCATAAACGGTTGAACGTGATTGAGGCCCTCTGTGAAAGGTTACGAACCACCAACCTTCTCCGACGGATATTGCTGCGTCTCATATTGCACGCCCAGATCCAATGACGGGTATCGGTGTGTTTGTCCCAGGGCGCTATTCAATTATCGGATCAGACATGAACCTACCACTTGAGAGCAGAGTTGCGTTGAACTTGCACCAATCGTCCTTCGTTACATTCTGTGGCTTATAAGAACGGATCACCAATGGGGAGTCTGAGTTTTCCAGAAGGCCCCGTACCATCCGCCCACATAAATTCATCCGACAACTCGACGTGTATTTTGAGAATGTACCACTGTGACCGTCTAAACAGTTAATGTTCGCTCAGCGCTGGGTGGTTAGAAATGCGGCTGTGTAGTTCGAATCTTTGATACTGCGCCGCGGGTTTTAATGACCCAACAAGGCCCAGTCCTCTTGTAGTGAATGAAGAGACGATTTTGTTGTTTTGGACAATTTTGCTCCGATTTACAATGATAGCACTATTTCTTAAGGAAATCTGACTGGGAAGAGGAGGGGAATATAAGGAGGTCATTTTTCGATTTTCCCAAGAGTTTTCCCAGCAAATGTGAGAAACCGAGAAATTCGGTATATTAAACAAATATTATCAAAGAAAATATAAAATGCCTATATTGGCAATATCATGATAAATTTGAACTGTAAGTTCTTGTAGAAACGTTACTAAAACTAAACTAAAATTAATTAAATGTTAGTAACCAAACTTAAATCAGATGTGAATTTATATGTGTGTGTGTATGTGATTATCAAAAAGCTTATTAGGTGATATTAAATGTGAAATCAAAGTGATAAGGGATGATAATAGTGTATAACAAATGATTATAGGTGTTATGGTCCAATTGGTAAGGCCATGGTGATAAGAGAGGTTTAGAGATGATAACAAATACGTGATAATATCTAATAAGGAAACAGGAAATGTGATACCATCTGATAAGATATAAGGTCATAGAACCTGATGTGTGATAACATCTAATGAGGAAACAGGGAGTAGGCCAGGGACAATTCCATTCTATATCATATTTTATAGTACTAAAATTCTCGATACGAGTATTATTACTTCAAAAATAAAAAAACATATCTCACTAACTTCCCCTGCTGTTAATCACATTCATAATGTCACCATAGTTTTAAGAAAAATATTTTGTAATTTATAGAGGCTAATGACATCAGAATTTGAAACCTTACCTTCTCAATAAAAAAAAAAGTATTATTATGATTAACCTATATATAGGTTAATAATATATTGATGCGTGTCATTAGTTTACAGTGTTTACATATTACCTATGATTGATATTAAATCAAAAAACTAAAATTATTATATACGCTCTTGGTCTTCACCATTCAAACAAATTGGTCGAGTGATTTGCTCTAAAACAACGATGAGTTGACCGTATCGAAATGCGGATTTTCGAAAAGCGAGTCATTTTGTTTACATTGGTTTCGGAGTACTTTAAAATCCTGCATGAATCCGGATTTTGGTCGAAAACCGGATTAAAATAGTAAAAAATATTTTTATTAATATGTTTATCAAATAAAATATTTATAATATTAAAAAAATCTTTATCGATAAATTCATAAAATAACATGTATTAAAAATATTTGTAAAATATTATTTTTAGAAAATGTTTTACTAATTAATGTTTTAATATTTTTAAAATATTGAATAAAGATTTCTGTGCTACTTGGAATTAATCAATTATTTAATTTATATGTTCAATACCTATATTATACTTCCCATTTCCCACTAATAAGTACCAAATAAAAATTAATTTTAATAAGTATTAATTGTTATCAATTAAATTATTATTATTATCATTTATCAGTTCGTGTATTATTTCAAAGGGAATTGAGAGGGGATAAAACTGGTGTAAATAGTTTGCACCATGTAGATAGTGATAGTGCAGACAAATTAAATCGGTATCGTTAATTTTAACACCGGTTTCTCCAAACAATTTTTTAAAGTCACACCGGATTGATTTACAAGAGGAAATTCACATAGATTTGTTCCATCAAATTTCTTGCTAGGGTCAGTGCCAATTACATTTTACAAACCCTCCCCCCCAAATATAAATTTTCAGAATTTGTTCGATATTTTATTTTATTATTTTATACTTTCAGGTTAGCGCCCCTCCTATGGTGGCGCCTTGGAGATTCACCCAGGTCGTCCATAGCTTTCGCCAGCCTTGGGTACACTCATATATTTTGCAAATTTTATTTTAGTTAACGAACAACAAGAAAATATTATAAATGAAAGAAATAATTCAAATAAATGTTTACAAAAGTGAGCCAAAAGGATGATGACACAATCAAATAAAAAATTTCATGTGTTGAAAGTTGGAACATTATTAGCCGTGACAATGCCGTTTATTAGTCAATGTTGACAACGGCTTTTATAAATTATGTAAGTAAAATAAAATAGAGAATTTAAATTTAAAGTGATGTATTTATGTTTGAATTAGGTACTGAAAATGATTTTCTTAAACACAAGTACACGAGATCTCAACTTGTGTCATGCAAAGAAATTTTGTTGGATCTCAAAAATTTTCTTGAATCATCGGGAGCAAAATAGATAACATTTCGAGAAAGTTCAGGCTGTAATAGTCTTATAGACACACCAGGTTAACAAAGATGTCACTGTAAGACGAAGTGTATAACGAATAAATGTACGTGTCGTGTAATGGAGAAACTATACAATTCTAAATGCCACTCTTCTTTATCGTATGAAAATGATTATCATATACAAATTTAAATATTATCTTTTAGATTCTGAGTGTATGTAGCGAAGAATGTATTGGTTTTACAAAGATGTTTATTTTATTTTTATATTTTATTCTGTGTAAAGAAATTCAACCATTTATCTTGCTTAGATATATACGCGCGGCTCCATTTCTGAAAAAGAATGTTGCCCAAATGGTACTTTTAAGAAGTCATTTTTTGATTTTTCAAGCAGTTATCATAATATCTAGGAAAAACCACGATAAAACGTAAAAATAACGGAAAATTTACGAAATTAATGCTTGTATTATTTTATTAATTTTGTTATTTGTTGTAATTCAATTAAAAATATTCGTAGAGACTTAAAATTTGGACAGAGAACTTATATTTAAAATTTTCAAAACATTTGAGTTATTTTTAGGCTTTTTCTAGACGTAGAAAAATTGTTGAGCTATTTATAGGGATTTTAATACTTAGAGTTTTGTACGTAATTTTTATTCGATAGGTACTCTAAAGTAAAATTGTTATACTTAACAGAAATGCTTGAAAATTTAACAGCAGGTTCATTAAATCTTACTTTGTGGTAAAAAAAAAAAAATTGAGTTTAATGTAGTATTTTTTTTTTACAAAGGAATTTTGATACTATATTTTGACGAAAATTGTTTGAGTAAAAAAAGATGTGGAATAAATCTAATTTTTCAATCTTTTTTTTTTTCTAATATGTGTATTTGTCGATTTAAAAAGGATGGTAAAGTCAGAATTGAGTGGACTGACAAAGTTTCGAAATTATAACTTTTTAAAATTCAGATATTATGCTGATATTACATGTTTATGTTAAATAACTTTATATTATCTTTATATGTTTATTGTAGTCGAATGTTCATGATTACATATTGTCATACAAGAGGTCGTGGATTCAAATTTGGTATTTGAGAAGATATTTTTTGCACTTTTTCCTTTTTTACTTAAGTAAGGTAAAAACAAATGCATTTTAAGCGTATCTAGAGACCTAGCTATAGCTCGCTCGGACGATTTTAATCAAAAAATACCTGTATTTTTAAATCTGTAAATAAATCTTGCTTCTATGTATCAAGTGTAACTTATTTTCTGGAAGGAAATTTTATCTCCATGATTTAAGGGGGTCATTTTTGTGATTTTTGAATCGGTTTTCATAATAACTGGAAAAAACCGGGATAAAATGTTGGAAAAACAGAAAATATACAAAATTTAGACATCAGTAAAAAAATATTATGGCCTTTTTTTTCTGTGTATAACTTTTCTACCAGCAATTTCGCTCCAATTTACAATGATAACACTTTTTCTGAAAGAAAATCTAACTGGGAAGGTACTTCAAGTAGGTAATTTTTCGATTTTTCTAAGATTTTTCTTAGCAAATGTGATAATCCGGAAAAAACATCGAAAAACGGGAAAATCGATATCAAATATAATTAATGATAATATATAATACCTGTTTAATTATTTTACCAAAATATGACATATATATATTGTTGGCAAAGTATCACTATCAACTGAAATGCGGTCAGAATCGTTTTTCGTTAGCAATGGTTTATCGTTTTTACAGATATACATTAAATTACCTATAACAGTGGCTGCACCTGTTCCATTATTCTAGGACATTTGACAATAATTAACATACAATTCTATTTTAATTGTAATTAACATAATTAACTAATATTGTTTGGAATCAACGTGGTTCTTAGTAAATAACGTTTAAAGCAATTTTTATCATTATTATCTATTAACGTTAATTACTAGATAATAACGTTAATATGAATTTGACATAATTTACTGTAACATGTACATATGTATATTATGTTGTACGGCTGTTACGGCAAATATCAGAAATGCTCGGGCAAAATGCGAAATGTCCACGATACTTAAGTAAAACTTCATATTTCGGCTTTTTTTCCAGATAAATCTATATAGTAGTGACCAAAATTATTTGGGAAAAACTGTAAAGTCTATAAACTTCAATTTTTCACATTTCTAAGATTTGCTCTATTTCGGATTTTGATCGTAACATATTATGTATTATAATAGATACGTAATTTTTTTTTAGATTTTGAGTATAGCGAAAAATGTATTGGTTTTACAAAGATATTTATTTTTTCTTTTTTTTTTATATTGTGTATAAAAATTCTACCAGAAATCTTAATCCGGTGTATACCTTATAGATCGTTTTCTGGATTCATTGGCTATAATGATGTTTAAACGTCAACAACTTTGTTTTTATAATTTATTTGTTATATACTTTTATAATGAAAATGAAAACACAACTTTTTTACTTAGTAACAGGATCCAAAATGCAACATAAAATTAATGATTTATTAGAATTTTTGGAAAAGTAACATGTTGAAAAAAAAATATCGATCAAATTGTCTCTACAGGATTAAAATTCCCCCATAACACATGTTTTATTACCACATGTTTGGTTTGGAGAAATATTTCTGTTAGAAAAAGTTATTGACAGATAGAAAAAAAGCTAATATCATAGTAAAACCAATACATTCCTAACTTTACTCAGAATCTAAAATTTTCAAAATTAATTCTAAATGAACGTTTAAATTATTATTCCATATTAATTTTTATGGGAGCAAATGCCTTCTCTTGTCGTTTCCATGGACGCCCATGGCGCTTTTTAAATTATAGCAGTTACTTACTTGTTTTATACTATTTACTGTTTTCTAGAACTGCATTAACTGTTATGATTAAATATTTTAATATTACATTAAATTTGAAAATTGAGAATAATTTTTTTTTCCTTGAAAAATATGAAAAATATGTGATTGGTAAACATGTTTAGGTATTTTATATTTTATACTAGGTATATATATACTAATTAGGTACATATTTGTCTTATATAGTTATCTACTAAAAATGCAAGACTTAAATTGTATATAATTGAAATAAATATGATAACTATGAGATTTTAGCATTAGTAAAAAATAAAAACTGTATTTTAGATTCTAAGTGAAGTGAGGAATGTATTGATTTTACAATGATGTTTAGTTTATTTTTTTTTTATGTGAACACTTTTGTACCAGATAACATACTCTGATTATCAAGTATAGCACCTTTTCTAAAAATAAATGTTCTCTGGGTGGTACTTTACAGAGGTACTTTTTTGGAATTCTTATAAATATTCGAGATAATGAGGAAAACTACGGTCATAGGTTATAAAAGATTGAAAGATTAAAAATAAGGTTGTCATTGGCAACCGTTTTTATTTATTTTTTGTTATTATTGAGTTTTTATTATTTTATCTTTTTAAAATAATCATTGTTATCATGGAAATGCATATTGTTGTAATTATTTTACCATAATATGATATATAGCATATATTGTATTGTTGACAAAGCAACACTATCTACTGAAGTCCACTCAGAATCGTTTTTTGTTAGCAGTTTATTGATTACAGATATACATTCAATTCTTATCTGTATCCTACCTTCCCAACTTTTCATCTACTACAGTGGCTGCACCCACGTGCAAAGTATGTATTTTTATTAAAATTTGAGTATATTATTTGTTATTTTACAACTAACAATAATTAACATACAATCAATTTAATTAATTTAATTGTATAAAATAAAGATGATAGGGAGGCATATAAAATATTATAGGTTTTTAATTTGACCAATTTTGTTATTGTAAATTAATAAATAATAACTATAATCCACTTCAATAATGACCAATCTATTTTGTAAAGTACATAAAAGACGCTGCTCATAAATATTAATATGACATATTGTAACAAATATCAATGTTCATTTCAACAGTCCAATGGGGGGCTGGCTAATTATGGTTTAAATGTTTAAATGAACTATATATTTTTTAAATTTAACTTAATAATGATTGAGTAAAAATATATATCAATTTAAAAAAAATAAAACATATTATTAGAGGATTAAAATTATCATGATTTATTATAAAAATAATAAGCATTGCATAGATTAATTGCACACTTGCATACAATTATTAATATTCATAATGTATAAACAAATATAAATACTACAACGGACAAAAATAAAATGAATAGAAAAATAATTTTTAGGTATTTCTTAAATGTAGAATAAAAAAAATAAAATAAAATAAAATGTTAGTACTTATACAAAATAAAAAAAACATTAATTTACAATTATTAAATATTTTCCCACAGTTGAATAAACTATAATTATAATTATATTATATTATTTTTAGAATATCAATTTCAAAGATCTGTAGATAGTGGCGTAAGGGGAGAGAGGTTAAAGATTATATCCCCCTTAACTTAAAAATACAAAAAGTATGAGTAACCTAATATCAAAATACATATATTTCAGCCGAGTTGCGAAAAAAAAGCAAATTAGAAATTAGAAATTGGCTTTTAAATTACCAATTCATATATTACAATTGGGTATTATAGAGAAGACAAATTCACAATTTTGTAGTTGCTTTTCATTGAAAATCCTGGACATGCCACTACTCTCTGTAGAAATGGAAATAGTTATATAGGTTTAAAGTATAGACTAGAATATGTTATAGTTTTCATAACAATAGCTAACTTTAATAATAATAATAATATTAATTTTATATATTTTCACACGGTTAAGAAAAGTAGAAATAAAAAAGCAACTAAATTTAAAAAAAAAAAAATAAAACTCTACTAGCTAAAAAGAATTTAACACAGAATAATATAATAATATCCAGATACTCATCCAAACAATTTATATATGTTTGCTAGCAATATATATATATATATATATATATATTATATAAAATAGTAATAATAATCAAAATAAAATCATAATAACAATAATCAACATTGTTAAAATATGTTTGTACTTATAGGAAAATATAATACATTTTCAGGAGTACCCTGTTATGATTCAAATAAACAAGCCAAGTAAGAATCCAATAGACTACTAATAAACAAATATCAAAGTTTAGGAAGCACCAATAAAAACATTCCTCGAAATATATCATTATAGATTAAAAAGAAATGTAAAAAAAAAAAAAAAATTGGAACTATAAGAATTTATTTGGAACTTATGATAAAACATTTGTTTAACAATTGCTGCTTAATAGTAGATAGTAGTTATGTGTGTTGGTGTGTTATAAAAAGACATAAACATTAATTATAGCCAAAAATCTGTAGGTAAATCTAAAATACAATTAAAAAAATAATAAATATTGAAACCCTTATAAAGGGGCTTGTTGAAATCTATGAATACAATGTTTTTTCCACCCATTCTTCCATTGTAAAAGAGGCTATATTTTTGTTGTCATGATCACGTTCTTTGAACATATCTAAAAAAAAAAATGTTCAATTAGGTATTTTAATAAGTATTAGAATTATTTTTATCCAAACAAACATTTCAAATTATTTTGACTATACCAGTTTTATAACTATTTCATTATTTCATAAATAGATTAATAATGCATTTTTATAATCAGCTTAGATATTATTCATAAGTTAATAAATGTTAATGTGATATGTAATAATTTGCTAATATGATACACTAATTTACTGTCTGTATAACTCTGAGGTCAGAAGAGGAAAATGTGTAATGTAAGTTTTAATATATGACTGAATTTACTTTTTATTAAACTTAAAATATAATAACATCTAAACTTATTTGGATAATATTGATGAAACCGGTAATGTCACATTTTGTCAAATTTTACATTATAAATCAATTTTATAAGAAATTTATCTACCTCTTCTTTTTAATATCATATAATTAACATAAGAATTTAAGTATAGTTCATACAAATGTTAAACACTTGTATAAATAAATGTAAAATATTCAGTTTTTTTTTGGGAGAGGGAGGAGGTAGTTGTTTTAAGCTAGATATAACCATTTTTAAATTTTAATAATTTGCATTAGCCCTCATACTCCATTTAAAAATTAAAATATCAAAATTTTCTAATAATTAAGTTTGATAACAAATCAACTCATTCTAATATTCAAATTACAACATAAAGCACAGTATTGTAATACAAGAACATAATATGTGATTATTACATACCTAATCATACCTAATTATTTAGATTTAGAAATTATATTCATTATATTATAATTATTATAAATTAATTTTTTGGTAATCTTATTATCTACTTGAACAGTATTATAGTTTTAACTGATTCAAACAATTCGTTTGATATTGGCAGGTTCATACATTTTATTTTTATAAATTAAAAACACAAATCAAATTTTTACTAACCTATTGTAGTTTTTAGTCTTACAGCACACATAATAAAGTCATCAAACATTATATTTCCATCTTTAGTAGCATACCGATGACACATAATGTTTAAGATATGTGTATTAAGATGATAACCAACTGAGTTTAATGCTTGTCTTAGTTCAAATCCATTAATGTAACCCTTGCTCTCCTTGTCATACATTTTAAACACAGTCTAAAATAAAACAACAGTATTTAAAAAATATTACAACTTTAAATGGAGACTCCTCAAATGTAGTTTTACAATGTTACATTTATTATTTACCTTCCACTGTCTAATGTCAATCCAGAGCCTTTTGAACTCTTCAAAACCAAGTTTACCAGATCGGTCCCAGTCCATCATAGCAATCATACTGCGACATACATCTTTTGAAAATCCTGCCTTTTCCATATCTGAAAATATTATGTTTCTAAAATAATGTGGGTTTACTTAAACAAATTAATGATTGACATTTCATGAATGTGAATCACATTCATAAAACTTTATTAAATGTGATAGGTATCACTATCTAAAAAAACTTACGAAATGTTGTCGCTAAAGGCGACCCTTGACAGAAAGCCTCACAGAATGTTTGTAATAAATTGAGAAGTATATTATCTCCAGAAGTTGTATTACTTGCAACATCTACAAATTATACAATCAAATAGGCAACTATGTTAGTTTAGGTACAAACTCAAGCATAAAACCTTTTAATATAATTTACAAGTATGAAATATTATTTATTTTCAATCAATTTTGTTTAGTAGTAAAATATAAGTAGCATAGTAATGTAAATTTATTTTTGTAAAATTTTAATTTTGAATTATTGTTATTATTAAGTGTATAATGAAAATGATTAGTAATGAATATAGAATTAATACTGTCAATATTAATGGATTTTTGTTGTAATTAGTCACACAAAATAAAACAAAAACAAAAAAAAATTTAACCAAACAAATATCTATGAAAGCAGGGTTAGACTGGTCTAATAATCTATTGTCTTAGAAAACAGTGGGCCACTTTCCTTGGTCGAATTGTGAGCCAGTGCTTTAAAACAAATATAGACTACACGAAATTATGAAACACATTTTATTTCCATTAATTTTGGTTTTTAATATAAATCAAAACATATAATGTATTCAAACAACAATTGATAAACAAAAAATAAAAATAAAAGATGGGTATCAGCAAAATTGAGGTAGGCCATCTTAATAGTAGGCCAAATAAGTAAGTCCAGTCAAGCCCTGATTAATCTTAAGTGCAATTTTCAAAAGAATAGTATAAACCATACAATGTTTTATAATTTCCAAGCATTTTTTACAAGATATTAGAGGTTAAGGTTAGAGATTCATAAAAATGTTTATTTCAAAATTTTAACCCAATGGTATGCCTATAAATTATTAATTGTTAATGTAATAAACTCAATAAATAACCCCAAAAATGGTTTCTCAAGTTGGTAATTATTCTTAAAAATTATAACAGTCATAACACATTTTCTATATTAAATATAATAAATAACCTATAATAAAACTATGGTAAAATAAATTTTAAAAAAATGTATCTAATACATTTTAACTTACCATTTCTCATAGCATAATCCAAAATATCTTTAAGCTCCATCCAATCAACCTCTTGGTCTTCACCAGCCAGTTTAAGGAAGAACTCTTTAATTTTTTCATTAGCTTTGTCAACTTTGTCTGGCTCAGGCTCTTGTTCTTTAATCTAACAAAATTTAGACTCATATTAAATATTGATTTATTATTTGCATAATATTATATTAGTTTTACCTTTATGTCAATTTCACCCATTCCGACTTCATCATCAAGCTCTCTAAAAAAAAAAAAAAAAAAAATAATTTGATTAAATTAATTAAAATGAATCATGGATCCTATAAAAATTATTTGATTAATAATTATTATGTTAGCACTGTTAATTCATATAATTATATTAACACTAACGTCATGTTATTTTCATGTTCTGAGAATACCCTGAGTAAGAATTCACCCTGTTCATTTGGATCAAATGTGGAAGGCACAATACAATATGTACCTGGAGGTAGACTAAATCTACTACTGATTTCTCTTAAATTTATAAAAGTAGGACTTCTTGCAATGGAAGCTGTATACTTAAAAAAATTAGTATCCAATGGTTTTGGCAATGAGTCTGGGTTAATGAGCTAAACAATAAAAAATAGTATAACAAAAATACATATTTTAGTATAATTAACAAAAATATAACTCTAAAATCTCAATTTATGTTTTAATAGTTACCTGATACACAGCAAATCCAATTGTTAAGCATTCAGCCCCTATCTTTCGCTGCGCACGTCTATTCTTTTGCATTAAAGCAATAATTACAGTACATTTACGTTCATCATCATCATCATCAGCATCTTCTAATGTAATACGATACTGTGGGTTACTTGCAAAAGTATCTATAAATATTGAATGGATCAAATTAGGTTAATTGATTATGTTGATGAAAGTTTCCAAATGTTACCTAAAAAATTACGACATCCTCCAGCAGATGCACCTCGCACCCATTCACCTTCAAACACACTCATTTCCCATTTCAAGTTAGAATTTTCACCAAGTTGTTCTTTGGTTAATAGGTCAGGATTCAAATTGCAAATTTCCAAACGAGAGAAGTATTTGACAAAATCTTTATATGACATCCAGAACTCACCATCAGCATCAAATGTCAAACCTAAAGATGCTTTGTCTGAATCAGATATAAATCTCCACTCAGGAGATCTGTTAATTAATTTAAACAATTAATAATTTTTCATTTTAAAACTATTTAAATGACAGTAAAGAATATAAAATATTTGTATGCGTACTTATCACTCCATGGTCCATTCCATTCTGCTTCATTACCCCATGGATTTCGTAGTCTAAGCAAAGGTATTTTACCTGTAGTATTTGGAGTGGTTATGTCTACATATGTTACTCTGGTAATACTATATGCATGACCTTTGACAAGGCCTTGTGGTGTTTCCAACTCTGTAACGGTTGGATCAGCCTTTAAAAATAACACATTTTGATAATTGACCGATTTCATCTTTGGTAATTAATATTATTATAATAAATTAAATTTGATCTAAAATATTAAGAGGAAACTGGAGTAAAAAGCCATAACTATGTGATAAAGCTTACTGAACATTGGTCAAGATAAGAAAATATCATTGAATAAATACACAAAATATGAAAAATCACTATATACATATATTTTTTTAAATTTATTTCGTTAAAAAATATTTAATAATATTGTTATTTCTGTTTGGCAAATCTATATTAATTTGAAACTATTTTGTATAGAGCAAAACTCTTAAAATAAAACCATTGTGATGTAATGTAAATGTTGAATGTGTAATGAAAGAAGCAAATGTGTTTTTGAAAAGTTAAGTATAATTCCTTTGTATATCTATTTTACTTATATAACACTGGTTTTCCTTTTTTAAGATTTTGGGTTTATCAATACCACCACAAATTAGTTAATAATTTGTTTGGTATTTTTCAGTTTGTTTGGCCTTCCTTAGTAAATTAAAGCTTTTATTCGAATTTATTGATAAAATATAAAATAAATTTGATTAATACTATTTTATTAAGGTATTTACAAGACAATTATAATTACATAGACATTACCAAGAATATTAACCTACCTATAAATTCATGTTTACCATGTAAAGCATAGGATGTGATAGTATAGGAAATATATAAATTTGAATCCAAAAATGGATAAAAAATAATTACACTGTGAACACTGTTGTGTAAGAAAAAAATTAATAAGAATAAATGTATAAAAAAAAACATTTACTTTTTCATATTTCAAATTAGAGAGGTATGTATTGAAAAAAATCCTATTTACTAAATTATAACTAATATTTTATATAAGGAGAAGAATATCCGGGATCTGACCAAAGAAGTGCAAAGATAGTTCAAATAAAGTGAAGCAACATTCCACAAGTCATAAATATGTAAACAATTAATTATGGGTGTTGCAAATTTAAAAATGGGAAAAAGACGTTTGGGATACACAGTGAAAATACAACATTTCTACCAGAAATCTTGCTCCGATTTCCAAGTATAGCACCTTTACTGAATGGAAATCGGTGTGGGGAGGTACTTTAAGTAGGTCATTTTTTGATTTTCTCAAAAGATTTCCCAGCAAATGTGAAAAACTAGAAAAAACATGGAAAACTGGGAAAACTCAGGAAAATTGGAGGGGGGATCATTATATTAAACAAATATTATCAAATAAAATATATAATATCTACTTAATTATTTTACCATGCTATGACATATTTATTGTTGACAAAGCATCATTAATGTCTGAACTCCCTAGAATTGTTTTTCCTTAGCAATAGTTTAGTGTTTCTTACAGGTATACATTAAACTACCTATAACAGTAGCTGCACCTATTCCCATTATCCCTAGGATAGCTTTTTAATTTTCTGGATTTTATAGTACTTAATATTTATTAATACAGTTATGCCCTATATTTTTCCTATACATATTTTTTTAAACTTTACCTCGATTGAACAACCCATTAGAGATTGTCGTTGAAAAGCTTTAAGCATTATTGTAAATAAATTTGGTGGTGGTTCATTTAACTCGTACATTTCTGATACACCAGCTGTGAAGTCCTCCATAGCCTCACAAGTACTGCCTCCTTTTAATGCTTCATATGATCCATGGATTCTAGTGTATAGCAAAAAACACAAATTTTTATCCACATAGTAAAATATTCGATACCATAAAAAATAAATATGACTATAGAAAGATTACAAATATTAATACATGAATACATATCAAATGTTGAATTAAGTAATAAAATAATATAGTGAAAACAAAATTATTAAATGGATAATACTAATAAACAAATATATAAATTAATTAATAACCTGGAGTATTATGGAATACATGTTGTACAACCTATGACTAATTATACAAATTGGTCATTTTACATAGAAATAATTTAATATTAAATACCAAAATAACATTTACATTAATTCAGTTTTAGAAGAATTATACATACACAATGAAATAAAGAAAATTAATTATAATAATATTTTAAATGTTTAAACTGGTTTTAAAAATAATATCTTTTATCAATTCACTTTAGATAATAAATAATAACAAAATATTTTATATTTCTTAATACATCTATGTCTAATAACTCATTTTAAATAATCTTTCCTATTAAAACAAATTATTTCTATTTAAAACGATCAATTTGTATATTTTATTTTCAAATAAATTTTAAACTCTTCGGGAAAATCACTGGTTTATGATAAATGGATCATTCTGTATAGGTACCTACTTATTACATTATATTAAAAAAAGCCAAGTAATATTAAATGTTCATAATATATTTATTGTTTATAGCATTGAATACTACTTGCCCAAACTAAAAAATTATGTTATGTTAATTGATAAAAATAATAATATGTTTACTTGGCGTAAGCTTTCTCCAATAAAGCACTCCAGAATTCATTTTCGGTTGCTGAATGGAGAAATATTAATTTTCCATGAAAAGTCGGTAAGCGATCGTCTACAACAACATCTACCCATCGGCCATACTGCCAAAATCTAAAATATCAATTTTTTTTGGTCCTAATTCAAATAGATATAAAGTATAATATTTAAAAACTGTCTTTACCTGAAATGGAATATACCAGCGTATTTATCATCGAAACCTTGATCGTTTGGCACAACTTGATAGAAGAGTTTTTCATTTAAAGTTAAATTGGCTACGGCAGCCAATAACCAACAGTCACCTGCATACAAAAAATGAGTTGATTTATTGTATGTATTATTATAGATTGTAATTTATTTTATGATTGTTTAGATTCAATCTGACTTACCCAGTTCTCCTTGCTGTACGTCGAATCTCGTAGCCCCTTCGATAAATAATTGAGGGTTATTCGCTATTTCCTGTAAATAAACTATTTAGTTTACATGTATTCAGGGCCGGCACTAGAGGGGGGGAGATGTATTTCCACCCCTTTTCAGTGAGAATAATTAATATCTAGTTAGAAATTATGAAACAATTGTTAAGTAATCGGATATTTTACATTTACAGGAAAATAAATAAAATCATTTTAGTCTTACAAAGGTTATAAAAGGCCAATAAGCAAAAAAAAACAATTTGTGAAATCCCCTCCACATCTATAATTACTAGCGTCGGCCCTGCACTTATTACCTATAATATATAAATTAAAATTATTATACTCACTCCCGGTCTTCGCCATTCAAACGATTTTTCCGGCGATTTACTGTAAAACAACGAAGAGTCGACCGTATCGAAATCCGGATCTTCGAAAAGCGCACCTTTTTGTAAACACTGGTCTCGGAGTACTTCAAAATCCTGGACATCTCCGGATTTCGGTCTAAAACCGGAACCGCGTTCACCAATCTTAAACATAATAATTGTTTTGATGAAAATAATGTAGATGAAAGACTACTATACATGATTACACGAAAATTAAATCTGCGCAATGACGTAAACAAGTAGTAGCGTTTACGGCTCGCGTTGGTGATATTAAGAAAATAATATTATTATTTTTACTTTTATTATTTCCGCTATTTTAATGATAATTTTATAATTCACCTACGGAAAGGTCAATGTTTTTAACCTAAAACACAGCGTTTTAACATTACAAATATAGGTACATCTACTAACTCATAAAATATTTTAGCTCACGTTATTATATTAAAATACCGCGCAACCCATTCATCAAAAATTATAGCAATTACCGACTTTTCATAATCATAGTTAAAGAACGATTTATTCGAAAGGTTTATTTTATGCGATGAAATTAATTTAATTTAATTCGTTATTTCGTTTTGGTTATTAATATTCATGGAATGTATAGATAAATACAAGTTTTAACTAAAATCAATGTATTTCAAAAATCATTGTTCATTGCGTCTGCAAACTTTAAAAAAAAAATTAGTATGGCTTGCAATTATTGAAATCATTATTGGAGCACTAACTTAAACACTTGTAAAACAAAATTGATTTGTCCTGTAATCACCAGATGTTTGTATTTTGTTGTTTATAAATAAAATTGTAAATTTTTAACATAAAAAAAAACCCCCATCCATGATGAGCATTAGAAGAACATATAGAGTGGAAATTATTCTTCACTTATTTCGTATAATAGACATATTATTTCTAAAACAATAAATAACTGTGTATTAAAATATTACAATACTACACTAAGGTAGTATTGTATACACCTATATACTAAAATATATTATAAATAATACTTTCAGGAAAAAAATTGACGAAAATCTTAAAAATTACTGAACTTTTAAACTATACTCAAATAATACTAATATCGCTTAGAATCGTATTTCGTAAGCAATGGTTTATCGTTACAAACATATAAAAATTAAATAACTTTTTGCATCCTACCTTCCCAATTTCTTACTTACAACAGTGGCGCACTCATCAACAGAATCAAGTTTTTTGTTTTCTTTATTTACCTAAAGTATAATATAAGAATGTTCCGGCATGATAGTGCGCTATTAAGTATAATATTATAATCGTACGTTTTCGTTACTGAATCGTGTTTTACGATGAAAAAAAAAAGAATACGAATTATTTGGAACAACCTGTTGATCGAATTGGTGGTTAGGTAGATACTATATTATGTTTTTCGTGTGATTTTTAACGCCATCGATATCACATTTTATTATTTTTTTTATATTTATACATACAATATACCTAAAATAAAATACGGTTCAGGAAACGTACCAGAAACTATTAATTTCCGTGACTACGAAACACGACCACGGTTATGGTTGTGTATTTTCTCGCGACGTTTATTTTATTGCGATTACCTCACGGTGAAAAACAAAAAATTTTGTTTTTCACCGTCCTTACATAATAGCAGACCAAAACGGATCCTTTCACCGTGTCCCTCCGTATAGACAACAAGGCTATTTTTTATTTTAATTATTATTTAGGAAACACGTATACCTACGCAATAATGTCAGCGGTAAGCTGTTAAGACATAATCTTACAAATCAAGCAATGATTCAATGAATCGTTGATGACAAGACCCAATAAAATATCAGAGCTCGATTTAGACGAATCACCAGGCTTCCGATGAGAGACACCTGAGACAGGCATCTAATTCGTTTCTTTGTATCTTTTAGAATATAATTAAAATTATATACATTAAATACTAAGAACTGCGAATTTGTAGCGAAAACAATGACTTTGTATTAGTTGCATTTTTATAGTGTTAGACAATTCTATTTGATAAGTTAAAGCCATTAAAGGTTGGAATCTTAACTTCTCTACCTCTTATTTTTGTTTTGTTTTTTTCGTTCATTTTTTTAACGATTTCAAGCGCTAATTTATGAATTTTAAGTACCATAAGTTCAGAACAAATTTCAAGTAATTGACGATAGATAACTCGCGTTTAAACACTATTAGATTCGAAGCGGACCGAATGATCAATTGGCTTTATTTTGACGAGTGTTTTTTTTTCTTCAAAAAAATTCTTCAAGAAGAAAACTTGCTCCCATGTATCAAATATAGCACCTTTTCTAAAAAGGAAATTTTATCTAGTTGGTGCACTGAGAAGGTGATTTTTTTAATTTATCAAATAGTTTTCATAATAACTAAGAAAAACCAGAAAAAGACAAAAAATTAAATACGAACAAATTTACAGCGTACGATTTCATTATTATAAATGTTTACGCTCGATATTTTCTACCAAATCATTTTTAATTTTCCCTGTTTTTTTTAATAATTAAGTATAACCGGAAAATAATGTAGAAAAAACGGGAAAATTTACGAAAATAGTGATTTTACTATTTGCAATTTTGTTTTTAGATTAGATTCTCAGCGGAGCGAGGAATGTATTATTTTTACAATGATGTTTATATTTTGATTTTTTTTTGTTGACAACTTTTCTACTAGCAATTTTGCTCCGATTTACAATGATAGCACTTTTTCTGAAAGGAAATCTGACTATAGGATGATACTTTACGAACGTCATTTTTTTGATTTTCCCAGGAGTTTTCATTATAAATGAGAAACACCTAGGAAAAACAGAAAAATAGGTAAAATATTAAACAAATATTATTAAAGAAAATTGACCATGATATGACATATACCGGGTGATCTATTTAATTGGCTATAATCATCATTATATCGGAAAGTATTAACTTTTTTCAGAATATGTGTTCTAGAACATTTAAGAAACAAGCTGCTCTACAATTTTCTATTTATATTATTTTTTTATCACTCTTATTTTTAGGGGTATAACTACTATTGTTAGTATATTGTTGACCAAGTAACACTATAAACCGAACTCCGCTATGTATTGTTTTTTGTTAGCAATGGTTAATCTTTGCTCACAAATATAAATGAAATAACTGTATGATGTATCCTACCTTCCTAATTTCCCACCTTCAACAGTGGCACACCCGTCTACAGCTTTTTTTTCTTTTTATTTCTCTCGTTTCAATTTTTCGTTTTAAATTATTTCCCCCTTGTTTTCATGGTGTTATCTACAATATCTGGGTTTTTTTATACGGATAATTTATATTATACGAATATTTTTTTGAATTCACTGCTGACGTAGTCACCATAAATATTATAATATATCATATTTACTATACGGTAAAAATAATATGTTCGCGAGGTATATCAGAAACGGCTGATTTCAGTGTCCCCGAAACACGCCCAATTAATAAGTGTACACGACGCATATTATTCATTAGATCGTGCGACTGTTAGTAGGTAACCTCATCATTATATTATATAGCAGTGGACAACAAAATTATTTTATGAATATAATATCCTGTACCTAATACAATAGACACAAACGTCTGCGTATAGGGCGTATACCAACGTACCTACTAAAATATTCCCGTCTATCGAAATATGTAGATTTCGTTTATTATACTCTATTATATAAAAGAGTCAGTGAAAAATATCCTAATCTATACTTAAATGTTTATAATTCGCTTAAAAATTAAATTATCGAACAAAACAGACGACGTAGAAGCACAAGATAATGTGCTTATTTTGAAAATTGATAAGAAGTTAATTCACTGTCATAATAAAACTAACAGCGCTAAAATTGTCCCTGCTTAACGTAAATTTGCTATATCGTGTAGGTACACAGTGTTCTTAAATATTATAAATATTGAAATTTTGATTTTATTAGTAATATACCTACTACGTGATCATGTGAAAAATGGCTGGAAGTCTCTACGAAAACAAAAAAAAAGGGGCGGTCTATTTTTGTGGTTTTTTTTTTTTACTAGGCGTATTTCTAACATTGAATTTACTGATATAATTATTAACATTGATATATAATATTAACAATACGGTAGAAAAACGCTCGCGGAGTATATAAATACCTATGCCTACCAAAAAACGACCAGCAGTTATCGGTAATAAAATTAAAAAATCGAATATTTTAAATTAACAACAAAGATAAATTGTGAATTTGATGGTTTTTTTTTGTAATTATTTTCTACGACCTGTGGATATAGTAAAAAAAAAAAAATACATTTTACAATAATACATGATGACCCGAGGGTAGGGGCTAAACATCACAGCCGTTGTCTAAATTCACGTGTACCTCTACCAGTATAACAAAAAAAAAAAAACTGATGCCTGCAATAAGTCAATTTTGGAACACAGGTGCAGAGCCATATACATATATTGATATTTTGACACACAATAGAATTGATGAAATAGATTCTAATGAATCCTATTCTTCAGATATTGGGTTTAATACCAAAATCGAAATTTTGGCACATATCAGTTTTTGCAAAAATGGTACACTTAAATTTTATCGACGAGTATAATATTTTAACTCGTATGTACCTGCCTACAAAAAACGAATTTATTTCTTGTTCAGTTTAATAATAAAATATGATAAAACATATGCTTACATGATAGACCAACGTCTTGCCGTATTTGTAAGGCATGGCGGTGGTGATATAGCTGGTTTTAATGTATTTATTGGATTAGCTAGGTACGACGATAACTTAAAACACGAGAATGGTAACGATCAAAAGGACGACAACGATGACGTCATAATACTATGATAGCGAATAAATTGCAATAAACTTAACGCGACGGGTGTTTTACGCGGAATGATAACGAATATCATTTGGGTACCTATGTGTACGAGCCGGCTGCAGTCGTCGTCGTCGTCATCGTCCTCGCCACGGTGGTGCCGGTCTTTATTGATCGCGTTAGTAGGAAAAAAAAACGGTAGTCAGCGCCGCAGGGATACTCAACATACGAACTGTTGTCCGTGGACCCCAATAATAAATTAAATGATATCGCGCAAATCCAAACGACGCCTACCGTACGTAATTCTGTGTTTTTATATACAGAGTGATCGAGAAAACGTAAACCTCTACCATATAATGGAAGGATTTTGATAACGGGGATTGTACATTAATAACAACAAATCAAGAGATCAATAGCAATGCATTTAATTTACTTGTGTGGCTACTTTTTTTTTTTTTTTTTTTAAAAGAATTAACGTTTCCTTTTTTTCTCGGTTGATAAACGATTAAAATGTGATAATATTTCGTCCGTCGATTCGATAGGCACTGTATGTGCCTACCGTTGTTACTTGTCTAAAATGTATTAAAGAAAAGATAAACATGTTGCTTATTTTATTATTTTATTTAGTTTGATTTCAAGATACTTGAAAATAAAAATAATAATGCTCTGTTTTAAAAACCTATATATTATCGCATTTAAAATATTACTTCACCTAATTTAAATCAACGTACAACGCTACAAATTGAAATAAGGACTTCTTGTTTAGTGTTATTATTTGTATAATACAAATATAAAATATTTATGAATAGTAATTTTAAAAAAGACGGAGACATACTTCGCACGTGGGTGGGCCAAAGTTGTAGGTAAGAAGTTGGGAAGGTAGAGGGGAAATTTAATGTATACGCAACGTATATCTATACGCAACGATTAATTATTGCTAACGAAACACGATTCTGAACGGAATTCGATTAATAGTCTTGCTTTGTTAACAATATAGGCGTAATATTATAGTGAAATAATTTCACATGCATTATAGATCTTCTTTTATAATATTTGTATAATATTGTTAATATTTTTATTTTATTTTTTAAGTGGTCTTTAAAATAATTAGGAAAAACGGAAAAATATTAAACAATTATTATTATATTAAACAAATATATAATACCTATGTAATTATTTTATCATAATATGACATACACATAAATAACAATATATTGTTGACAAAGTAACACTATCAACTAAACTTCGCTCAGAATTTTTTTTATGTTATAGCAATAGTTATTCATTGCTTACAGATATACATTGAATTACCTATAACAGTAGCTGCATTATTCTAGGACAGCTTCTTATTTAAAATTTTGTTTTGTTTTTTTTTTTAAATCCGTTAAAAATAATCGTTAATACTTTGATTATTATTTTTGTAATAATTTGAAAATTAAAAATAGGTAGTCGTTCCCTCCTAAAAATAATATCCATTCTAATTTAAAAGACTGCAATTTCCTATCAAGGTATCTTTTGCAATGACCACAAATAATTTACAAGGGCAATCATTAAAGATAGCAGGGATTGATTAGAGTGATGACTGCTTTTCACATAGGCAATTCTATGTGGCGTGCTCTAGAGTTCGTTCACGTAGCAGCTTAGTCATACTTGCCTCTATCGGAAAAACAATCAACGTAGTCTATAAAGAGGTGCTTCAATAAAAAAAAAAGAGCTGATACTTAGGATGAAAGCGACCACTGTTGTAGTTGAGAAGTTGGGAATGTAGAACACATAAGGCTATTTCAATTATATCTGTAAACAACGATAAACCATTGCTAGACAAAAGACGATTCTGAGCGCAGTTCGGGAATACATAATTTGAAGTGCCGTAAATTTGTTTGCGATTTTCGTTTAAATTTGATTTCAAAACACGTTTATTAAAAAAAAAAATCGTTCGATGATTTTGGAAATTTTACCGTATCTGGGTAAGTCCAATATAAGTATTATTACCAAGTTTCAAGTCTCTACTTGTATTTATAATCGAGTAACAGCAAAAAAAACTCCCAAAAATTTAAATTCCATAAAAGCTCAAAAGTGGCTCAAAAGTTTTGGCGATGATACCATAAGAAATTAAATCAAAAAGCCAAAAAAACATGTATCTTGTGATTTTTCGATCAAGTCATTTTTTTTTGGTAGAAAACGTAGTCGGTGTTTTTATAAAATAATGAAATCGTGAAATTTTACGTTTTTCTACGTTTTTTCCTCACTTAAGTGCTGTTATCTAAAAAATGACCTCTATAAAGTACTATTTAGAAAATTTGAGCCTTCAAAAAAGTTGCTACACGTAAAAAATCAGAGCAAGTTTACTAGAAAAAAACGTGTTCACAGACTAGGACAAAGCAAAAAAAGAAATTGTAAAACCACTCGGTAGCTCCCTCGGTACACTTGGAATCTAAAATTACTCTGTATTTCTCGAAAATTTAAAAAACAAATTGGTTTACCGTGTACTATTCAAATGATGTTAATGAAGATGTTTCCTACTTGGAAGTGTGGTGAAATTTTGTAAATTTGATTTGCAAGTATATTTATTTCTATGACATATTATAAGGTTTTTTTTTTCAGTATGATTTATAAATACTTATTATGATTTATTAGTGATAAAGAATAATGACTATAATATATAGCCGAGGGAAAGTGGCACACTTCAATCTATTTTGATTTTTTTTTATTCCATAAGATTGTTTGATTAATAGACCGACGAAGATAGAACCATGATAAATTTTAGTTTTTTCGATCTCACTAAATTACTAATCTAGCAATACATTTTTATTATAGAGTGACAGACTGTGGAAATTGCAATTTGTGTCACCTTGAGTATATTATATTTGAAGCGTTCTACAATTTTATCATTTGAAGCGAACATTTAGTCCAGTAAAAATGATTTTTCTTTTTTTTTTACATTTGTTCTATATTGAAAAACTAATAACGCTACTACATGCGGTGACGTATTTAGGAATTTGTCATGGGGAGGGTCCAAACAATTTTCAAAATACAGGGCCATGGGGGCTTTGCCCCCATACCTTAACTCAATTACTCTTTATTAAATAAATGTACCACATGTATTTTATAAGTCGATACAACCTTTTTGTAATATCATAGTAAGTTCCATAGCATTACTCTGAATCGAATATTGAAACATTTAGGTTAAGATAATACTGAAAATTACTTATTAACAAAAAAAAAAAATCCAAAAATAAATTAAATAACATTTTATCCTAGGAATGCAAAAAAAAAATTACGATATTAATTAAAAATTTTGATAATAAAGCGTCAGAAATGTTTTACAAAATCCTTCGTATTGTATGATAAAATTTGTTTTTCATAATCATAAAACACAAAATTTAACATCTACGAGTCAATGGGAGGGGTTAGGTCTCCATGGACCCCCCCCCCCTATAAATAAGCCACTGACTGCATGTTGATCATAATACTTTTCAAAATGTTACTCCTAGTATTTTAAATAGTAAACAAAATAATTCTAACATGTGACTCAATACCAAAAACAACATTTGGCCTAGTTTTAATTTTAAAATATCGAATATAACTAGTTTTATTTATTTATTTTAAATATTTTGATTGTATTATAGAATAAAAAAATTATTTAAAATAACCAAAATACATAATATTGTCGTAAAACCTGTAACGGGAAGTGACCTACTCGAACGGATCAATGGATTATCTGGAAGACATATAAACTTGTATTATTTTAATCAAGGTTGGGACGTATAATACAATAAAGTATAAAACGCGTATCATACGTACGTATAAAATTACTAGTTTTGTATATTTTATACCATTTACAAATATTTTTTTTCTTGGTTGCACTGAACAGAAATTATTAGGTCAAATAATTGTCAATTTACATTGATAAATAATAACAACAGACATTTAATCATCATTTTATATATCTTGCATCTTGTATAATTACCTAAGATATATTATGTGATAATTTGTTATATTTATTACTAAGTTCATCTTTATTCTTTATAAATAACTATATTAATATTTATAAAATAACACTAAAAAAAAATGTTTTGTTTTTATTTTATTCTAAATTTAAGAAAATTCACCATGATTTGATCTGTTAATTTGATATATCAATTTATAAGTTTAACTACTTATTAAAATCTAAAATGTACAGTGTTATCACTATTGTATGATAAACTTCAAAAAAAAAAAAAAATATATATATACATATAATTCCTTATGATTCAGTCGTTACCTATACATTTTTATACGTTTTAATCATTTTATAAGTTTATACAATACAGGTTAGGTAATAAAACAAATTTTTGATTTTTTTTAAATCAACTGCAACGCTTTAAGAGGAAACTGTATATTTTAGACGATTTAGACCTAAAAGCCAAAAAAACTGCAGCAATTTTGTGTTTGACGGATTTTAATTTTGAAAACGGATTATGATTACTTAGAGCCTTTACTATTGAATATGTTGGACATTTAATTATTTTACAAGAGATCTTAAAAAAATTGATCGTATGTTTGAAAAATGTTCGAAACAAATATAACTAAACATCACTAACTAACGTTGCTTACAAATATAAATTAAATAAATTATTGAATCTTATTTTTTTTTTTTTTTTTATTGGGATGTATAATGTGTAAAGTATTCAGATTAAAAAAAAAAACATGAAATATACTCTAAAAAATATTTGTTTTTGCTTATTTAATAGACATAAAGAACCATAGAAATCGGATTTACTTTAGTCTTTATGGGGATTTCCTAGGAAGCGGACATTGATAGTTCCATAAAATAGACTTGTGTATGAACTATAATATGAGAACTGTGACCTGTGGCGTACGCAGGGGGCTAAGGGGCTAAATCCCCCCCTCATTGACTGTTAGTACATATATAAATATATATCTGACTTCAATGCTACATTTTGTGCTTGTTGGGAAAAAGGCTTTGAAATTGTATTTCCCAATAAGGCTCTGTGTATTTTATTAAATGTAAATATTTGTGTAATTTTTCAATTTTTACAAAAACTTAAAACATGTTTATAAATGAATAATTATAAACTTTTTTTTTTTAATTTCTAACTGATTTAAAAAAAAAAACGGCATTGACCCTTCATGCACCAAGCCACAGATATATACATATATATTTTTAGATTTTTCAAATTTTAACTGTAATAATAATTAGTAAATAAGAATTTTTTTTCATAAAATACACTATTTTCGTAAGTAAATAATTTAATTTACCACCGCTATCTATTATAATAACCTTACTATATTATCACAGAATAAGATATTATTAGGTTTATACGATTATTATTTTTGTCTAACTGTGGTGACCATTATGATTTTTCGGTTTCAGTTTCAATTCTTTTATTCAAAAAAAAAAAAAAATTCGATACTGATTTCGATAAATACCGGTATTTAGAGGTACCTTTATATTATTCCATATCATATTATAACAATAACCGAACATTAATCGATAGTAATAACTATTCGTTATCGCCTATTACGCCTATATAATTTCATAAGAAACTGTTCGAAAATTAATAAGTACATTTTAATATGATAAAATATTTATTATGCATATGTACCATATATATAAATAGATAGGTGTATAGGAGTTTACTAATTTATTTTTCCATATCACAATCTAATAAGAGTTTATGTTATTATTAAATTTTCATATAAAACGTAGTTCTCATAGTTTTGCACACTAAAATAATTATTTAATTATTCATTATGGCAGAAAAAAGATCGAATTCTTTTTCGATTTTTAGTTTGAAGAAAAAAAAAATGGTAAGTAATGCAATCCACAATTCATACAATTCTAATTTTGTTTGATCTCTGTTTTTTTAATATTCTACTAGCTTAAAAATTGTATTTTACTGCCAACATTTTTATGGTTATCTAAATATTAAAGTTTTTTTTTAAAAAATTTGTTTGTGTATATTTTATATTTATTATCAGTCAGAACTAAGAATGTAACTGCTTAATTTTTCAAACTTGTGACAAAACAACTGATTTAAATTATTAATTTTCAAGTCTCCATTGAAAAATCATGCGTACGCTACTGATTGTGCGTACCTACATAAGAAAAAAAAACCTATAATTTACTGTAATTATAATTAATTAATAATAATAGAGCAGAAAAAACAATGATTACAATATTTTAAAATACACAATGCAACGTTTTACCTTGTTTGATATTTCGATTTCGAGATCTATATCGTCAAACACTAAGTTTTTACTTTTCGATTTAGCCGAATCAGTATTCTTTGATTTCGCGTTCCCCGCGATACCTGCAAATTTGGAAAAAACGTCACTCATATTTTTAGCGGATTGTATACACAATATCGAAGATCATAAGAGACTAGTAAAACAAACAAAACCTTTGTAAAAATAATATTATATAGTGCCCGTTTATCGCGTTATTTATGAATAATTCAAAAATATAATAAAAATATGTATTGTCTAGAAAAAAGATAAAACAACTATTTCGTCCATGATTATAAATTATAATATATTCGAGGCGTGACATTTTATTCTAATGAACATTATATTTATTTTCAATTAGCGAGAAATGTATAATGTTTTTACAATGATGTTTAATTTTTTTTTTTTTTGTGAACAATTTTCCCACCAAAAATCCTACATCGAAATATCAAGTATAACATATTTTCTGAAAGGAAATTTTATCTAGTTAGTAGGTTAGAGAGATAATTTCACAACATTTTAGCCATTTTTGACTTTTAACATTTGACGTTTTAATTTTACGAATTTTTTTACGAAATTTGTAATCGGTAGGTACTATTCTTAACTTGTTAGACAAACAAAAATGCTTGAAAATTTAACAGGAGATTTATTATAAGTCGTATTTAGTGGTTAAGAAAAAAATATAGTTTAATGTAGATTTTTTTTTTTTATTTTTTTAAATCAAATTTTGACGAAAATCGTAAATATTACGGCCATTCAAAATATGTATAACCGAACTCCGTTTAGAATCGTTTTTCGTTGGCAAAACTAAATCATCGCGTACAGATATACACTTATAAATTCTCCTCTATATCCAACCTTATATCCAACTTCTCATCTATAACAATAACCTACACATCGTGTAAAGTATGTCAGTTTTCTTAAATGTGTAATTAGTGTTTTTAATATGAGTACCTATAATACTATAGCGGAATTAATTTTACATGATGATACACATGATATATTTGAGTATACACTGGATATTAGATTACATTAAGATAGACTATATGGAGAGACAGCTAAATATTGTATGGTATAATTGTAAGCCATTTATATTCCCGTTGAAAGACCATGCATGATAAACCATGAATAATAAATTGTGTAAGTACATGTAATGTTATTAATTCTTCGACAATGTAAACATTTGCAAACCGATCAGTTTTACACAATAAGTGATGAAAAAAAATATTATTAAAAGTATAGATGAATATTTAAATATGATTAACTCGAGTTTTATGTGGTTTTTTAGATTCTGAGTGGAGCGAAGAAGCTAATCGTTTTACAAAGATGTTTATTTTTGTATTATTTTTTATTTCTGTGGACAGCTTTTTTACCAGCAATTTTGCTCCAACTTTTAATGACAGCAATTTTTTTTTAAAGGAAATTTCACTGGGAAGCTACTTTAAAGGGGTCATTTTTCGGTTTTCTCAGCAAATGTGAAAAACTGGGAAAAAACATAGGAAAACCGGAGAAATCGGTACAGCAATAAACAAATATTATTAAAGGAAAATATATAGAGCCAACTTAATTATTTTACTATTATATAACATATATATTGTTGACAAAATCTTACTATCAACTGAACTGCGCTCAGAATAATTTATTCATAAGCAATGGTTTATCGTTCTTACAGGTATACATTAAATTACCTATAACAGTGGCTGCACCTGTCCCATTATTCTAGGACGTTTTTTTTTTTTTTTTATTGAAACGATAGAAAAGTTTTATACTCATTATATAGATGTGTTAAAGATCAGTAATGTACTCCCAGAATTTACCAACAAAGAGGATAGAAGTAGCACAATGAGAAGGGTGGAGCAGCCAGGGCTGTAACCTAGGCTGTAACCAAAGCAATCAGGTTCTATATTTTACCTAATTTTTACATTTATATACAAATTATTTGTAGTTAAATTTCATAATATTTTACTTTAAAAAAATTAATCCACATAAGGTAATAGGTATATAAAAAATGAAATGTTAATAATGTTAATAATATTTACTTTGTACTATATTTTATGTATTAGTAATAATGTGATCTATCTTTGCTTCTGAATACCTTTTACCCTACCCTAATCTTCTTTTTACTATACACGTTTTAAAGAACAAAGCTTGGTGTTAGTAGTAGGTAAGTTTAATACTTGACATTGCGAAAAATTAAACAATTGTTTACTAAAAATACGATTCTAAGTAAAGTTCAGTTGATAGTGATACTATGTCAACAATATATATGTCATATTAATATATTATGGTAAAATAATTAAATACCCAGTAAATATTCTCAATAATAATATTTGTTTAATATTGTACCGATTTTCCACGGGTTTCCCGTATTTTTTCCCGGTTTCTCACATTTGTTGGGAAAACTCTTGGAAAAATCGAAAAATTACCTCTCTAAAGTACCTCCCCAGTCAGATTTTCTGTCAGAAAAAGTACCATCTCTATAAATCGATGCAAAATCGGTGGTAGAAAATTGTTCACAGGAAACAAAAATCGTAATATTTTACTAATATATTTCATACATTTTCCCGTTTTTCTCACTCTTTCCCTTCTATTGCGAAAACTTCTAGGAAATTAAAAAATGACCTTCCTAAAGTACCAACCCAAAAAAATGTTCATTCAGAAAAGGTACTATATTGTATACATCAGAGTAAGCTTTCTAGTAGAAAGCAAAAACATCATAGTAGAACCTATATATTTTTTGCTTCACTCAGAATTTAAAATTATAAATTGAGCAACGATAAAATATGGAACTCGAGATAAACCGTAAATTATTGTTTAAATAACAAATTATAGGATATATTTATAATACATATATTATATGTATCCTATGTATTATGTAAGATATATATCTATTGATCAGGTTATATTGTATAGTAGCTAATGGTATGTAGATAAACGATATACAAGTGTATATATATATATATATATATATATACATATATACATGTCTATATTTTAAATTTATAGGATTAAAAATAATTAATCAATTAAAAAAAAAATCATATTTCATATTAATAGAAATAAAAAAACTTATATTTTCAATTATAATGACCTTCTGTTTATTGATATAGTATAAAATACACTATAAGTATTACGTACCGTCATAATTATTTCGTAAACAAACCCAAATGAAATTTATTAGTTCAACATCCTAAGCTAACTATTTATCGTAATACATCATATTATTCTGTGTCAAGAAAAAAACAAAATCAAATTTAACATTAACCGCTGGCTGTGTGAATATTCTAGTTTCCCGATGTTTTTCTAAATTTTTCATTATGTCTTTTATTAAGAAATCTACAAGAGAAATCCAAAAATTACCTCCTTAGTACACCAAATATACAACTTTTTCTACTAGAAACCACCCTTTTAGGTTTAGTTAATGATTGGAGCAAGATTTCTAATATAAAAATGGTTTATAAACAGAAAAATTAGTGTATGGGAGCTCAATTTGTCGTCTATTTTTTTTATTTTTGATTCTGAGATTAACGAAAAAGCGCTATTAATTTTATAAAGATGTGTTTTTTCCTTGAAAAACACTTTTTCCGTTAAGTTTGGAAGATGTGGATTATTTGACTGATGACACTTTATTCGAAACATTCATCACCCTCCTCCCCCCACGGTCATTTTTAGAGTTTGTATAAGCTATAAGTATCTTCGAAAACCGCACACTATTGACAGGTTAAAACCACACATTTTTTTGCATTTTTATATCCAAAAGTCGCACATTTTATAATAATGTATTATTTATTAATAATTAGTCTAAAAATATATAAAATAAAATATCAAATACTATCTTAATTAGTGTTGTTAAATACTAATATAAAATATAATAAATTTAAAATCAATTGTAAAAATAAAAAAATAATCAAAATTTTAAGCAAAAAGCCGATGTTTTTTAATGAATTAAAAGATATTAGTTTGAAAAAAATTTTTAAAAAAAATTTGTACATAATTATTGGTAGGAATCGATAGCCGATGTATTTTAAAAACATTTTAAACGAACTCCGTCCTTCGAACATTCTTCCCAACATTTAAACAAGTGTTTCTAAAATTACATACAACATAATAAAAAATGATGTATTGCTAATATTAAAATTTGCCCATTAACTAACTTGTTTCTGTTTTTCAATTGGACGGACAATGTTTTCATACAACAATGTATTATACAATGTTTTATAATTAGCGTACAGTTTTACCCTACTATATGTGCGCGGTATTTGGCTATATAGTGTACCTACCTGTCAATCGATGAAGTGTGCGTTTTTCGTCTACCGACCTATTTGGGATGGAAACTATATATGTGTGTGCGGTTTTCGGATGCAACCAGCGCCTCTTATTGACATGATATTATTACATTACACTGATATGTCATATATATATATATATGATACTAAACCTATATATGATGACAACCATGGAAACTAAAAAAATGTATGTAGGTACACTTAATAAAATTAACAGATCATATATATTCTATCTATATTTAACAAAAAAAAAAAATGTTTGGGCTAAAAAGGGCCTCGGCAAGAATACCTAATGGCTGTAATCCGGCTCATGTCGTGAGGTTGATGTTTTTGATAGAGTTTTTATGTGTTTTGATAATAATGTATCCAGTAATAATGCGGCTAGCATTATTATAATGATTATTCTGGGACTATTCGATGCTAACTTTTCCAACGTTTGGAAAACAATAAAAGTTCAGTTGTAGCAAACGAATAAATTCGACGCACTGATAATAGAAAATGTTCTGTATACGAACAATGTCATATCGGTTATTATATTCCGTTTAATCCTAATTCATTTCGTGGTATCGGGGTCATAGCCTAACCACGGCTCCCTCTCAGCCTATATTATAATAATTTATTATCGTGTCGCAACATTCACAACGCACAAACCTTATAAGTATAACAATAAAAACTTAATTTAAGCATATTTTTTTTTTTTTTTTTTAATTTCTTTCTTAACAGAACACTTTTCTCCGGGTGCCCATCACTGTAGAGCGCAAAACTTAAAAATATTTTTGTTCTAAATTTGAATTAGAAATTGTAAATACTTAATATTTATATATATTGTACCTGTATGATTACAATCTTATCAGGAACAATTTATTATAAATTATGTGCAGTCAACGATCGGCAATTTTATTTCTGTAGGACCTAGTGTTGGTATACGCGCCAACGTGTTACAGTAGGCCGTTCGATTTTCGTACGAGTCGGTCACGAGTAAACATTATACTACTTTAATAATACGCTCTAATAATTTAATAATTTTAAAATATATCACAATCCTAATATATTATATTATACGTATACAATTTTAAAGTGATAAATATTATGTATAAATTGAATATTAAAATATAGCGAATTTTATATTATGTGTCTAATAAAAGGACGCTAATTTCATAACTTGTTCTGGGTCAGTTGTTATTGGTCTTAACTGTTAAATATACAATAATACTGATATGTACTGTTATTAATACGTACACTGACTTTATTTAAGTGTGCTAAAAAAGCATAGATTTTTGATTTTCGTTATTTAAAAAAAATCTCTTCTCGCTTTTCAATAGTTCAATCACCGTCGCACGGCAGTACACTTGAACGCGTTAATGGATTAGCGAATCATTATCGAACAAAATACACAGGGTGAAAATAGATAATCGTAATTAGAAACGATTTTCCTCTTGTTTCCCTATTATTCAATCGTTTATTGACGATGAATGGTTTTATTACTCGTTTACCTATTATAAGACACAAGCCCGAATTCTTGGGGATTCGGGATTGTGATTCTAAACTCAGCAAGGTAAGTATTTATTGGTTTTGCTATGCGGTTTTTTTTTTAAGTTTATAAACAACTTTTCTACCAGAAATCTTTTCCTGATCACAAGTATCATTTTTTAATTATCTTAATAATTGGGGGAAAAACGTAAGAAAAACGGGAAAATATACCTAATAACGGTTTCCGTTATTTCTTTTTTTTTTTGTAATCCTATTAAAAATGGTCGTAGAGACCTGAAATTTACATAGCAAACTTATACTGTACCTAAACTAATTTCTGTGCGTAGTAAAATTTTTAAGACAACTTTCGTGATACTTGAGCTATTTATAGCCATTTTAAATAGACGAGTTTATTGTTTTTATTTGGTTTGTGTGGAAAGAATTGGTTTTGATCCAGAAGACCAGAAAATATGTTTGAAAATTAACAGAAGGTTTATCATAAATTATTCTTAATGAACAAACAAAGTTAAATATAATATGGAGCCGAATTCTTTATTAGCATTCAAAGTTCAAATTTTATAATTCACAACATTAAAAAATATACTTAACCGGACTTCACTCAGAATCGTTTTACGTTACCAATCTTTCGCTGCGTGCAGATATAAATTAAATTACTCTATATACAATATACATAGTGAATCACCAAGGTCTGACATATGAAATAAATTTTGTTCTATTTAACATTTTTAATTTTTTTTTTCTTGTGATAATTAAAATGACCTTGTGCTATGATTCCTTTATTTTATATTTGTATGTATTTTTTAAAACAAAATAAAAATTAAAATATGTATAAAAAATTCTAAACAAAATTCTAGAGAGCCACGCCACAAATAATTTTGAAACAAAATTTTGATGTAACACATATTTACTAATGAGTAATAATATTAAGTTAAATTAAATAATGTTAAATAACCGTCGAGTTTCTACAATTTGTTAAAGAAAATTAAGATTTGTTAAGATTGTTAATTAAGATTTCATAAAAAAAATTGAAGAATTGATTGATAGTATTTATCGATGACAATGAAAATATTTTTGAATTGTTCGTTAATTTCAAAAATGGCTTTAAAAATTTATGTAAAATGGCTATCTCAAAATTCTTATTTTTAAAAATGGCTTAAATATTTTAAATGTTACCATGTCTAGAAAAAACAAATATAAGTTTTCCGTTATAATTTAAGTCATTAACGTAGGACCAAATTGAAAATAATAAGAGCAGTATTTTCGTAAATTTTCCCGTTCGTATTACGTTTTTTCTGTTTTACAAAATTACTTAAAAAACTAGAGGAAATCAAAAAACCAACTTCCTTGGTCACCATCAAGATTAAAAATGCATCAAAAAAGCATCATGCTTAAAATTTAACTTACATTTGTTCATATTTCGTCTTTTTCCAGTTTTTCATCATAGTAAAACCAAACATTTACTCATAATATCATTGTTTCGTTAATATTGTTGATATTTGTATGCCATTTTATCAACAAATATTTATTTACCAAAATATTTAAAACAAAGTAATGGGATCTCAAACCGTTTAATTTCGATTTAAATATAGTTTTCAATGTTGTACCGAATATTTATGAATTAGAACATCCAGGTCAGCTTTCTCTTTCGTCGTGTAAAACTAATAAAACGGTATGGTAGGTAAGATATGCTAACCTACATATTCTCTCCTTTCTTTCACGTGCGAAATAATTTTCCCGTAGTGAATTTATTTGCAAACTATAATATTATAAACAGGGTTTGAAACCGAAATAAAAAACACCGGTATTTTAAGTGAAACCTTTTGAAAATATTGGATCCGGAACCTTACCGAAACAACCCTTTTTTGATTTTCTAATGAATCTAAACTGGAACCAGTTTTTGTTGGAAGAGTATTTTTCGGCTCCAATTTTTTTTATAGGTAAAACGAGATGGCGTACGACGTTACCTAATTTTTGATTCCACGACTGCGTATGCAATTTCAAGCGTTGTTACCTTTTTTCATACCGGTATATAACACATGAGTGATCTAGAAATAATTTATGAATACTTTGCATTTCACCGTGAACTTTTATTGTTACCGATATCGATGCAATATCAAATACCTACATCTGCTCGAAATTTCGATATTTCAAATATATAGATGTTTGCTGCCAGCAGTTCGTCGTGTGTACACTTTACCGATATTTACTAATATCGAAAATTCTATTTAACTAACAAAATCCGAAAAAGGAAAAAAGTCAGTACTTTTAAATTTATAGGATTAATAGGATTTTATTTTAATTCAAAATATTATAATAGCTTATGATTAGTATAAAATGTATTGCGATGTTTAAAAGTATAAGTTAAAATTAAAATTTAGTTATTTTAAAATTATTCATTTTTTAACTATGATTTTATTTATTTATTAATTATTTTATTAGTAAAAATATTCTATTTTTTGTTGTTCAATCAAAATTATTGTATTGGGCAATTATTGAGTAATTATTATTCAAATAAAATTATAGTACACAAATTTGACAACGTTGCAAACGAATTCATTCGTAATCGTTTTGATTTTTTTTTTTATATATTCTTTAATCCATCGGTAAATATAAGCAATAGTTTTGTTAAAATGGACAAACGTACGCAATCGTTTTCTACTCTTTTAGCTTTTATTTAACTATTTTTATATTTAAGTAATCTGTATTATAATATAATAGATTTCTATTATCTATATACCAGTTAAACAACGACCAATATAAACAATCACAGTGGCTAGCTGGTAGGTTAGTCTTGAATCTTTCTAAAGTATTGTTTTCGGATTCGAACGCCGTCGGTAATACCAAAAATCAGTGAACAGCGTAATATTTAGCCATAGAGTAACCTAACCTAACCTAACCTAACCTTAAAGGTTCTTTTTTTCAATCCAGAACCGATATAGGTGCGATAACAACGTTAACAAATATCAACAAAGATTAAAAATAAGGTTGTCATTGGCAACTGTTTTTATTTATTTTTTGTTATTAAGTTTTAATTATTTTAATATTTTTTAAACAATCATTGCTTTCATGAAAACAAATTAGTAGAATTTAAAACGGCTGTTATTTAAAAACTATTCATCGGCTATAAATAATTGTAGCCCTCATCCCTGTGAGTTAAACAGCCTATATTGACATTTGTCCGTGAGATAGACAAAGGCGTAAATTAGTGTTCGGCGTCCACATAAGAGGGTGTTATACCCAAATTTGCAGACATTTGTAGTATTCCGAATATAGTATTATAAATATTTTAAAAATTATTTCATACATTTAAAAAAATACTTTTCTCAGTTTATTTAGTGTATTTAACGCAACTTAACTTTGAAATGCGCGTTTTTATTCAGAAAATAATTTTTAGGTTAATCGAAATGCTCAGATTTATTCATATCTATCTCGCTAAACAGTTTAATTATTGACAAAAAAAAAAAAAAAAAAAAAATACTTGATTGTATAAATAATGTTTTTGCCATTAAATCTGATAATAAGTCAATTCACTTTTATATATTAAAACTAACAGGACAAAGTTGTCCCTGATGAACGCAAATTTGATATCATAGTTTATTTGTAAAACGAAGCAACATACAAGCACATACGGTTATCGGAAGTAATTTGTGTTTTTTTTTACGGTTAAAATGTGTGCCATAATATTATAATATTTATTATTCATCAATCTATTCATGGTATGTATACGCTTATAATAATACTATAAATTATTTATTATCCATTCATAACTAATTTAAAATTATATAAATTACGTGTTTGGCGTTCGCATGACCTATAAGTCATAATGCACGTATACTGAAGATATAGACGGGAGAAAAATAAATAATAAAGAATTAGCGTACAATATATTATAATGGTCATTGTTCAACTTTAACGCTATGACGTAATATAGCTAAACATTTTAAACGTTGATAATATTATACATACAAAATTATCTATTTAAGTGATTATACGCACTCGATATTTCAAAAAGTATTGAATTTTTAAAACGAAATAATTTAAAATATATAAGAAACAAGCGGCTCTAAAATATCGCATTGTTATTAATTTTTGTCACCCTTATTTTTGGGGGTGAAATGACTGCCTACGGATGATTTTCTAATAGCAACCTAAACAATAAAAAATTTACAAATAGATAGAGTATAAGTTTAAATACATGTCGGTATTTACATTTTTTAATTCCGGTAACCTGTCAACGAGATATTCCACTTTTCGATTTGGGTAGCGGAGAATAGTGGATCGTCATTTGATTGGTGACACGTAATCAAGAGAATCCAGAAATCAACAAAAAAAAAACCTATGTTGTTTTTGTTAGTTTTTTTAATTGTATAGGGAATCTGGACATATTTTTCAGATAAATTACTACCATACGAAATGTACGCATCTTTTAAGGTGCAATGCAAAAAAATTGTATCCTTCTTACAAACCGAAAAAGTTTGTTCCGAGAAAAAAAAACGTTAAAAAATAATGGGGACGTATATAAAGTAGGGGTAAACATAAAAAATAGTTTTAAATAAAGCTTAAAAAATTCCATAATGATAAAATAAAACTGAAAACAATTCACTTCAAATCCCTTTAGAAAATCGTTGGCTCGTGTTAAAAAGGCTGTCCTAGGATAATATAAGGACAGGTGCAGCCACTTTTGTAGGTGATAAGTTGGGAAGGTAGGATACAGAAGGGAATTTAAAGTATATTTGTAAGCAACGATAAACCATTACTAACGAGGAAACGATTAGGAACGGTGTTCAGTTGATAGTGATACTTTGTCAACAATATAATATAGTATGTCATATTACGGGAAAATAATTAATTAAACATTACACATTTTCTTTAATAATATTTGTTTAATATTGTACTGAATAGTGGATATATTATATTGTATTAAGATAGGTCACTGTAGTGGAATGGGCCAAAGTCATAACTTGGTCATCTCCTATTTTAATGATTTTAAACTTCTTCTTGTATAATTTTCTACTCGAAGAATTAAATATGTCAGTTTTATTAAATATTTAATATAAGTATTTTTTTTTTTTTTTTACTCATTTAACTAACTAAATTTTATCATAAAAATCATAATAAAATACGTTAAATAATATATGTTAATAATGTAATAATAATAATAATTTATGTATAAATGTATGTTTATTAGTAAATTAACAATCGCGTTATAAAAAAATGTATCTGAAAATCGTCAAAAAAAAAAAACGCGTTTACGTGTTCCAGAATACAAAATTAAAGACCATAAATTATAATATATACAGAGCGATTCAAATTTCTGTACATAAACCTATTTAATTATCGATGGCTGGTACGTTACATGCTCGTAGTCATTTGCGTAGTAGTACCTACGTAATAATTATAATTTGGAAAAATCAGTGTGAAAAAATTGTCGCATTTTCCTAACAAAGTATTTAAAAAAGAAACATAAAAAACAAATTTTCAGTAAATGAATTAAGAAAAATTTAGAAAAATTGTTCAAATGAGTACCATCAGGCGTAAAATCCGTATCTTCGAATGTGGACCGTGAAAAAATCGGAGCATTTGTACTACTATTAGAAAAAGTGTTTATCGAGAAAAACCCACGTCATAGTAAAATACTACACTCGGAATCTGAAAATATGTGCGATAGTTTTTTGCTCTTGTCGATGAAATCTGTACGACTAACAAATACAATACAGGAAAAAAAAAAGAGAGCTGGTCAAAGTGCGTAATATTAAAAATACCGATGACCTATGTGGACACTCGAGTTGATATTTGTGTGTACCCATCTATACAGACCCGAGACACGGTTTTAGTCAATAATATTATCACTCGTTGGTCTATTATTCTGTAATCGCCATAATATGGGTGCGCAACGGGTAATTTTTCGAGTAATTAAACACATGAATGTAATCGAAAATGTTTCGAAAATAAAAAAAAATAAAAAAAAAAAACGAACTCTACAATACGAAAAACATAATGTTATACGCGCGCACACATTATTATTATTGTGTCTGCTGCGACTCGACAGAAATGACGTGCCTATTTTTCGTTTACGCGAATAGCGTGCAATTTAATAGGTACACACAGGAGGATACTATGCATTATAATAACGCTATCTCTGTTTATCAACGGCCGTGCGTATCGTCATCGCGCGCTTTATTATTATTATTAATAGGTGGTGGGGGGAGGGGGGGGAGGTTAAAAACCACTCCTCGCATTTCCCGTTTTGTATAACATCGTCGGCAGTATATATATATATATGTATAGGATTCCGGTATACGAATCGCATAATCGCGTTGTACGGGAAAATATCGCATATCTTATTGTGTGGTGGTGTCTGCCTGCCGTGTCATGATATTTCACCGTGGCGCGCCCAGTAATATTTCCAACGGGTACAAGTTAGCCAATACAATAATCGTGACCGAAATCTAAATATAGAATTTTCGTTGTTTTTTCGATAATATACGCCACTACCACCTAGCTACACGCAATCCGACGACGGGAATTTAATAACCGAGTATTATGCGATCGTATTAGGCGGAATTCGATACGTAGGTAAACATTTTACGAAGTGTAACACCCGCACTGTATCCCGACAAGAATATTTTAACCGGAATGAGTAGTTGTGTACGTCAAAATCTTCGACATAATCGAATTCCGTTTTCTTTGGATTATTTACATTTTTCAGTTCGCGAATAATCACGACAAATAAGTTATTTTTCTTGTTTAATTCGTACGTGTACGTTAAGCTGTACAGTGTGGTTTATCGTGATCGACGAATTTTACTGCAACATACCCAACATAAACCCTGTATATTGGCTAGAAAATATAGTCAATAGTGAAAATAGTTACGTTTCTGTTTCTCAATAACATTTATATTATATATACGTGTGTTAAATTATTATGTTGAAATACTTGTAAATTGTAATTATCAACACGTCTCGTGTTTAATTTTAATGACATTGACGATGGACAGCGGTACGTACAAAGTTCAAATGTATTTATTTTTTCATCGGCTGTTTGAATTTCGCTGGCATTAAAAATAGTTATTGAAAAATGGCAAACTGCATTCCCCGACCGATTTTCACTTTCCATTTTCCGCGTTAAAGTGTTGTTCTTGTAAACGGAGAAAACCTCAGCGAAAACACAAAGAAACTATAACACTGATATAAAAACTACGAGTACCTACCTGTATGTTATAGTGACTGAGTAAACAAACAAATTCAAATACGAACATTTAATGTGGTGTTTGAACCCCAGCAATCAATTTATGATATTTACTTTGAAATAATACAATCGTTATTAATTTATTAAACAAGTTTTTAATTATAACGTAAGTATACATATTCCATATCTAATTGATTAACATATTTTATAGAAAGAACAGGTTATATTGGGTTAGGTCAATAAATAGAGACTATTGGCCGGTGCATTTAAATACTTTTAACAGCTCCTTCTGGACCAAAAATACTCAAATTCAGGGAATTTGATTTTTGTTGGATAGAATGTGATAAAATGTTAGTTGAATTTTAATACGAGCATTACCAAGTTGTTGTGGATGGAATGTAGTTTTTTAGCGTTGCACACCCCTACAGCTTCCTAAATGAATCCAGGAAAATTACATTTTGTACATGCAATATACATAGTGTAAGTATCAATAATGTACGATGTGCCTTTCGGTGTTTTTAATTTCAACCACCTCCCCGACTATTTTTATGCTCAGATTTTACGTTTTCACAGGAAATAGCATGTTTAAAACACACTGTTAAGATATTTAAAATATATTTACGGACTCATAAAATTAACTTGGTTAAAATGTGTTTAAATAATGTAATAAACGGGGAAGTGACTCAAAAACTTGATTGCAATTAATAATACAAAAATATATCTACACAAATAGTTAAGTTTGAATAAATATTACTATTTATTATGCTTATCAATTTACTTTTCACGACAATTAAAATTTTGTTTGTAAAATCTCTGTATCAAAAAAATGATTTCGTCTCTTTTCTTTCTCCCAGAAAGAATCTTAATAATACGAGGAACCACACTTGGCAAGTCATAACAGTAATAAAATACAAAAATATAGGTATATATCTGACTACAAACAATAATACAAAATCATAAAATACCCAGCAGCCAATCAACATCCCAAACCCTTCACAAAATTGTATGCTCTAACAGAAAACCACGTTTGCAAAAACTGAAAATACATAATGCCAACCACAAATGTGCAACAAACAGACCGAAAAAAAGATGATTCATCACAGAAGAAGAAGAGACGAAGAGACAAACAATAAGTAAAATCCACTGGGATTAACTAATTAATAAAAAAAATATAGTCATTTTATAATTTTATTCTTAAATAATTTTTCTCTTACTTCCATTTACTATTTTATCCTACTACTATTTTTATATTATATACTTCTTTAAATTCATATGTTAAATTACTCCAGTTTAAAAAAATACATAATTCATTTTTTTTTTTCAAATCAGTTCATGTAAGTTCATATCGTGGAGACACAATATCAAAAAAACAAACGTGCAATTTGTGATAAAATCTTAAACATTTCTTTTAAAACCTATATGTTGACCTCGATATTGAATCACAAACTTATTATGAATGTGTGAATCTTATATTTAGTTTTAAATGTATTAGTTTATATACTTTACTTTATTTATATAGCTACTAATTTTTTATACCGTCTATATTGCTATCTAATATCTATATTATCTATATCTATTTATCTGTAATGTGCATTTCTTTTCAGATTTTCAAGTTATTGATTATAATTATTTAATTTTTTATGTAACAAATCTCACATTCCAAAAACTTAAAAAAGTATTGAACTCTTGTTACAATAAAGTATATGATTACATTATTATATAATGTCAATAATACGTTTGAACGAAAACAAAAACTCGATGTAACACTCAGATAAATCCACGTCTATTGTCTTGGTAAAATAAAATTAGTGCCCATTATTACGACAAATTTAAACTAAAAAAAAAAAAAAAAAACGCTAATGAGCGTATGCTTGCAAGTCGTCACTTATTTGTTACTCAACGGCTCAATATAGCCGACTAAGTACTTAAACGGTACAGTGGTTTCGGTGACGGAGTGTTAGATCACCCATGTTTATTTAAAATTTAAATAAACAAATCGGTATTTATGTTGTACCGATTCATCGAGACCTACGCATACTTATATTTCGTTACTCATTACGTTTGAGCAGCGGATTGTCAACAAACGTCAAGCGGAATACTCAAGGTAAGTAGCATTATCATATTTTTGTAATAGGATATGAAATAGAATAGATAGGTACAAAATAAATAACACAAATCGCCGATCGCCAATAAATACAATACGCATTAATATAAACAATATAAACGCATATTGTATTAGATATATGTAATATAGATGACATAAATAAAATCACACGGAGAACTATTCTAATAATCGATTATAAATATGACCATAACACTTGCACTTCGCGGGTCAATTAAGGGATGCATCCGGTAGCGTTATTATATTCGATAAGACACACACTATCACACCATCGACGGTCCGTGACCCGTATTGACGCATTCACGCCATCTGTATTCTACTCTACTTTTATATTTTCTCTTTTTATTCTATTACAATAAATATAAATGTCGTGGAGAAGGTTTGAACTCCCAACCCTCGGCCCTACCGTCTGTTTGAATGTTAACAAAAATATCGAGAACTTAATTCATCTATTTTGATAAAACTTTTTTGTTTAATTCCTTATCCTAAAAAAAATAAACATCAAGCAACAAGTCAGCAACAAGTCAGCTACTCGTGTGTTTTTATTTTTTACTATATAAATGCAATTTTTTATAATTCAACTAAAAGACTGCTCCGATCTAAAAATTCATGTCTTTGTAGGAAGTTCTACAAATAATATTTTGTAACTATAAACAATAAATATATATATAACCAGTTCGTATTGGTATAAGATCAGTTTTTAAAAATTCTTATATTTTTTTATAATAGAGAAAAAACAATCAAAATAAATAAAAAAAATAGTAATTCAAGTATTAGAAAACATCATTAAGATGTTAGATTTAGAAATAGACGCGAGGAATGATGTATTCCTATAATGTTACTTAAATATTTCGAGATGACGGTTTTAACTTATGGTACTTTTGTAATATCACTCGTCACTTCACGTCAAGTTACCAACATAATACAACTATATGATAATGCACTTAGTACGTCTGGTTATTATTTATATGTTTTACAATTATTATTTGTCACTTGACAGCAAATCTAGAATGATTATACAGGGTGTAACAGGACTATTTGACATTTTTACAATGTACTTTCATGTAGAAATGACAAATAGTCTAGTTACACCCTGTATAAAACTAGTAGATTTAATATTTATTATGAAATTGTGTAATTAATGTATAGGTATTATTTGTTAGGTTAGGTTAGATTTTCAAAACAATTTAAACAGCGTACAGTGAAGTTATCAAATTGTGATTTTTACTGCAGGGAAAATTCGTACAATATTAAACAAATATTATTAAAGAAAATATATAATGCCTAATTAATTATTTTACCGTAATATAATATACTATATTGTATTGATGACAAAGCATCACTATCAACTAAACACCGTTCCTAATCGTTTTTTCGTTAGCAGTGGTTTATCGTTGCTTACAAATATACATTAAATTCCCTTCCCAACTTCCCATCTACACAAGTGGCTACACCCGTCCTTATATTATCCTAGAAAAGCTTTTCTTAATATGAGCCAACGATTTTCTAAGGGAATTTTAAGTGAATTTATTTTCAGTGTCGTTTTATCATTATGGAATTTTTTATGCTTTATTTAAAATCATTTTTAATGTTTACCCCTACTCCATATATCTCAAACAAATATATACTATTGTTGTTCATATAAAAACCTCTCTTTTAAACATAGATTAGAATAGAGATTATTTTTCTAGACATTTGTATATGCATACCACTAATATCAGATTTACTGTCTATAAATTACAACCTTTTAAAATTTAAACTGGAGGAGTAGAGAAGATTTATCACTCTGTCATTTGAAATTAGATATGCAATTTATTCAAGAAATATAAGCTGAAATAAAGCCTAGTGTGAGAGAGAGCGCTGCGATTATTATCTCATGTGTTTCTGTCTTCGAAATGAAACTTCATCCACCTGGAACTTTCGTCTAGATGTACAAGTCTATGGTATAGACAAACCCTACACCGATTACAACTCTGGATAATTCGATAATATTATATGAAAATGAGTAATAATTATTATTATACAATGGACTAATGTAAAATGACAGAAGGATATTATTTAAAATAATATGAACACACTTGAATAAACAAACCGGCAAAACGGTTTTAATACCATGAGTAATAATCGCGCAGTAATCGTAGTCGCTGGGTAATAAAATTAAATGCAAATCATATCCAACATATGCAGTCGCATCGGTGAATCACTCATTACAGTACTTGTTTAATTATAATATTTAAAAATATAAAATGAATGACGGAATTTCGAACAACAATAATACCGAAAAATACTGGTCGAATTATGGACGGAGGGGAGAAATATATTCAAATGTGTAGAATGTAAATACGGATACCATGTGTACATACCATACTACTGCTTACCCATGTATACGTAGTTAACTTTATTCCAAAAACAATGCTATAATAATATTGAAAGTGACAACATTTTTCTTCTTATCGATTATTACGTGGACGCTACAAATAATTTTATCTCCGTTTTACAAACTTACGACACATACACAAACTAGGGTTCGGAAGTTCATGCACTAAAACCTACCGAAATGTGCGCTTGAAATCATAAAAACATGTGCTAAATATGCATTTATTATTATTATTATTTATTTTTTTTTTTTACATAACATATACAATTTAACGAAATATGTTGAATTTTGTTGTTTACCTGAATAATTACAGTTTACAACTAGAGATTTTGACAGGTTTTAAAATATAAACGAACAGCAGTTATCGGCCAACATATTTTTATAAATAGAAAAGTTTCGTTCTACATCCACTGATGAAATAAACGAATACTTGAAACGTATGAAATCATTAATTTAAAGATCATCAAGTTTTAATAAAAAAAAGACTCGTTTTTTAATTGGAAAAATATTAGTGGTAGAAAAAGTCGTCCGTAAAATAATGAAACCGTACGTTTTTCCTACGTTTTTTTTCGGTTATAGATATTATTTCGAATTTCGCTTCAAAAATAAAAAAAAATGTCTTATCTAAAGTATCAACTAGATAAAATTTTTCTGAAGAAAAAGTGCTTAATAACACACACAAAAAAACATTTTTGTAAAACTAAATTGCGGCCTTCCCTCTTCTTCAACTGTTTTCGGTTCAATAAGAAATCTTTCACTGATACATTTTTTAATGGAGATATTTCCCCCCATACTTTTTAAAAGTTTATTACTTATTTTATGAAGTTAAATAGGGGGAAAATGTTCACATTAAAAAATGTATCAGGAAAATATGTCTTACTACACCGAAAACAGTCAAGAGGAAAATGTCCATTTACCTAAAAAACTAATACATTGTTCACTATGATTAAAATCTAAAGGTTTACAAATTAGTTTTTTTTACTGAGTTAAGTTAAATTGATTTTGTAATTTAACTTTAAACTCAACGAGCGAGTTAAACAATTATTTTGTAAACTCTTAACTTTTAAATGGAGATCATTTAATTCTTTTTCTACAATCTGTAATATTTGTGAACTTAAATTAACACCAATTGGCCGTGCATACGTTTTAATAAATTTACCCAATTAAGCATAACACGATTCACCTTTTGGTTTTAAATCCTGATATGACATTATTATATAGATATAGCGGTATCTAATATCAATAAATATAGTGTATACCAAGTACACCAAGTACACCATGTATCCAAGTACTAATAACTAACAATGTACTATTCTACTTTAAATATGCAATATAAGTATACTAATTAATATATAATACTGATAAATATTTAAAAGAAAACGAAAACACACTAAACATTTAACAATTCACTATATACAGCCGACAGTGAATGTCAATCACTGTTCTTCTTCTACCCAAACTGAAAAGTAGAACATGGGCCGTCAATTGGTTGACGGCAATCAAAACTGCCTACATCGAAATTTATTCTAATTAATACTCCATGATATATTTTTCAAATTTTTAATAGGTCGCCATTTTAAAATCGGTAGATAGTAGTTTCATCCTTAAAAATAAGCGTGACTAAAAGACATAAATGTAAAATTATAAAGCTGCTTGTTTCTTAAATATTCTACAAAACAAATTCTGGAAAAAGTTAATATTTTTTAAGAGTGAATGTACCCACTTAAATTGATCGCCTTGTATAGTGAATACACGTACAATGTATACTTTTGAACATTTGTTGTATATAAATTATATGACCTAAGAATAATATTAAGTAGATAGATAATGTATGTTTTTATAGTTATTTAACAAATAATATATAAATAATAATAGTAATATTTAGAATGAACTAATTAAAATAATAAGCATAAAGAAGATTAAAAAATCAAAATTACCAATAGGTCATGGTTACTTCAGTGCCTTGTTATATTGTAAACACTAATTTATTTTTTCTCAATACAAAATAAATATTTCAAATTTAATTAATTTTATTATCTAACCATAATAACTACTCGTATATAAACGGTATGTCTATAAATACATAGTTGTCCGTAATTATAATGCACACTAGTAATGTGACATAAATCTAGATTATCCAAAAATGCATATACATTTAAGATTTCAGATATTCAATTTATTGATTTTTTTAAATCTATAATTTGTACTTTCCATACTTAAAAAAAATTCGGTATTAAATGATTTAAAAAAATAATAATCAGATATTGCGGATGAGTACCACGCCACAGTTGTAAATGAGAAGGTTGGAAGGTGTAGGATACATATAATATTATTTAACTTATATTTGTAAGTAAAACGAAAAAACAATTTGAACTAAAATTGGTTATAAATGTTTTGAAAGGCATTAATATTTAATATACTAACAATTTTATCCATAGAGTATCTACCAAATAAAAATAACATAAAAACTCACAAAATTAAAATATCTAGAAATAGCTCAAAAGTGGCTTCGACGGTTTTTTTTTTTTTTTTTCATTTGACCATGTCTAGAAAAGGCAAATAAAAGTTTTCTGTCAAAATTTTAAGTCTCAACGAATATTTTTAACCGAAATAAAACATAACCAAAAATCAAAACTGAAAATAATAAAAGCATTATTTTTGGAACTTTTCCCTTTCTATTTATGTTTTTTTTTCAGTTAAGCTCAATTATTAAAAACATGTACTTTTAACCAAACTTTAATCCAAATCGTTTTTCGTTATCAATGATTTATTGTTACTTACAGATATGAAATAAATAACTTTTTATGTATCTCACCTTCCAACCTTCTAACCTTCTCTAATTCTTTGCTGTGCTCAGAATCTTAAACGTTTATGGCACTAATATTGGATGTAATAATATATACTGTCGGTTAATAAATTTATGTTTAAGTAAAAATATTATTGTTTTTATTTTTATAAACCGTTAAAGTATTAGATGTGTCGTTATACAACAATAAAAATATTTCTGACCGGAGAGAAATTCGTTCACGTGGGTACGTTCTGACCGAAGGGCATAAGAATTTTCATCCGAAAAAGTGGTTCCGCTGCCCGTAGACCGCAACCCTGGTGGCTGAATTTTCTGTTACCTATGTACTTGTACAACACTACGTATTACCACAGAAATCGAATATTTACCATGCTAAATGATTATCTTTCTTTTGTATTCGTGATTCGAATAGTTAAAGCTCTCGGTATTCGATTTTGCACAAAGCTATAAAGGAACCGATGTTTTGTATACAGAGAAATTTTTTCAAAAGATATTTGACCTATATTTTAACTTTTATCTGCACTCCTTCGATCTCGAACCGAAAATAAAATACCGAAATAATGAATAATTCATTATGTTTAGTTTAGTTTATATGATATTTATAGTCACCGACTAATTATTATTCATGAATCGATACACATTACGTGTCGGTAACAATAATGTATTATGATAAATTTAAAATATTCTCGTCGAAATAGAAAACAATAGGTTAAGTAAGTATGCACTTATCTGTATGAAGAATATTTGACCGCGCCTATGCAACAATTATTATTATTAAACAAACCGACAGACGATAATACAAGTATTATTACAATATGAAAGAAGTATTACGCATAATATAACATTTAGAAGAAAAAGAAAAATAGGCGGAGGTACCGCATTCCGGTAGTTTGAAAAAAAAACACGACTGTGGGTCATATCAGAAACAACTAGTGTTATAATATCATATACTATATTTTATGCGTGCGTTACACAGTTTTTACTATCCTATTTAAATTATTGAAAACGACGAAATACTCGTAATAATTATTTTACTGTTTTAGAAGTAAATGTGGTACTTAAAATAACTGAAATATTTATAATTATGTACGTATAAACTTCAGATTTTGACTGTATACCTTATTGATACATTTATCATTATTTATTAACCTAAGTTTAATCAATCAACTATGACTTTTTAATTCATATGAATTAATCTATTAATACTTCCTATAATGTAAAATTAGAAATCGATTAATTATTATCTTACTATTGGAGGCGATTCGAGTAACCTTTTTAAAAAAAAATTCAATAGTCAGATCGGCGACAATTCGTGAGCGCCCCAGGGAAGAAGGGCAAATAACATGGGTTTTTCGATTTTTTAATATCAAGACGAAATCATTTTAAAGGGTGCAAAAATAATGGGTGATCAATGATTATATTATATTTGATCATATCACGAAACTATGTACGATTACTTATACAAAGTTAATGAAAACTAAAAATTAATAATCTACCAGGGAAAAGGAAAAGAACATTTCGGTTTTTGCTTTCTTGTCATCGAGTTAAATATAGAAAAAGATTTTACTATTTTCTCATGAATATTATTTACTAAAACACCTCTCAATGTAAATTCCTAAACACGTCAACCATCTGAAGAGATTGTTTTAAATTCAATGAGAAGCCACGGATATTTTAAGATAGTTCATGTCGACAATATTTACTTCTATATAAATAAATTTATATTCCATATGAGAATAACGCTTCGATTATTTTCAAAAACACAAGTCTAGGAAAAATGATTAGAAATGGAGAAGTTTTCTGTATAATCGTATTGTAGAGATATTGTTTAAGTGGATTGGAAGCGACGAGTTTCTGTCTTAGTCTTACACACGTGAAATATAGGGATTACAAAGATGTTTATTTTTTTTTTATTTTTTTTTCGTGTGCGCAACTTTTCTACCAGATGACTTGCTTCGATTTTTACGTGTAGTAACTTTTTTGAAAGTAAATCTGACTGGGAAGGTACTCATTAAGGATATCGTTTTTGGACTTTCCCAAGAGTTTTTCCAGCGAATGTGATAAACCAGGAAATACGGGAAAATCAGTACAATATATTAAACAAATATTATTAGAGAACATACATAATGTCTATTTAATTATTTTACCATACTATGACATAAATACTGTTGACAAAGCATCACTATCAACTTTACTGCGCTCAGAATCATATTTTTCCGTTAGCAATGTTTTAATCAACTTGATACCTACCTACTTTTAGCTTCATTAAATATTTTATTCCGTTCGCATAAAATATTGTATTATTATACGGATATTCATTAAAATTCTTTTCTCGACTGGGTATAGTTTTTTTTTTATTTTTTTATTGTTGATCGATTACTGCACGGAAAAAAAAATACATTACTCACTGTGCTCAAAATCGTAAACTGGATTTACAAAACTTTTACGATCGGCAATATGCGAGCTGAGTAAGGATAATAATTGTATAACGATAATAATCGTCATCATCATCATCATCATCATCATCATCGCGTACCTAAAATATATCTAAATAATTTATTCAACCGGTACAGAGCTCTGGAGTAAATTAGACTAACTCGCTGATAGAATAATATACTAAATTCACGTGGGTTCGCGTAAATATATTATATTACTTATCCAAATTTCACAAACGCACTATATAATATATTGTATGTGTGTAATCATTGTCTATTTTATTATTCAAATATTCTATTCGACGATGACTTGATGATAATAATAATAATATATGCTGAAAACTCTACTAACAGTTTTTAATCAATTATTCAATTCGCCGACCTAATCAAACTAATGGATTTTGCGCAGATTTTTTTTTAATTTTAAACGGGTATATACCTGTGTAACCATAACTGATTGGATAAATATCTTCGAAATTAGGTTTGGTCTCGGGTTTAATTAAATTGTTTTTTTTTTAAAACTATTTTTTCATTTTTTACGCACTACCTACACGAGGTTTAGTCGATTAGTCACTCGTCGCCGGATACCAATATAATTTTTATACAATATACTGTACGAAAAATCCTAGAATTTAATATTTTATTTATTTATTAATTGTTTGTAAGAGAACGTCATACACAGTTTAACGAGTACCCGTCAATTTAAAATTTTGACCATATGGTTTATGCTTTTATAATTACCTAGTTAATGACTCGATTGACGATTAACAGAAAGCATATTGTTGTAAGATTATTTCGGTGAAAGAGTGAAAATTTCTTTTTAAAAAGAAATTAGTTATGTAAATTGTATTAAATCAGAACTAATTCCAGAATTGAAGAAAGGAACTTGTTTCTCAAATAGTAAAAACCATCAATTTGTACAAATATTTTTTATTATAAAATTGTAGTATATATTAATAAATAATATGTCCTTCACTGGGAACATATTGAAACAAACTTATCCACTTATTATTAATGTTTTTAAACAAATTATGGCGAATGTTCTTCTAATTGATGAACAAAATTCCAATACATTCCTTCATAGATCTGTTCCCGATAAATTCCTAAAAATATTAGGTAATACCGGACTAGGTCTGATAAGAAAAAAATAGTAACATGTTATGGGTACGTATTTAAATATAATACAATTTAAGAGTAATTTTTTTCGTTAGTTGTATAAAAATATGTATTTTAGATTCCGAGTGGAGCGAGGAATGCATTGGTTTTACAATGATGTTTATTTTTTTTTTTTTTTATTGACAAATTTTCTTCCAGCTATTTTGCTCCGATTTTGAAGTATAGGACTTTTCCAAAAAGGAAATCTAACTGGATGGTACTTTAAAGAGGCCATTTTTCGATTTTCCCATGAGTTTTCTTGAGTTTTCTTTTAAGATAATTTTTAATTTTCTCGTCTGTTTTCATAACAAATAAGGAAAATCCGGAAAAAACGTAGGAAGAACGGAAAAAGTTATAAAATGAATTATGTTTTCAATTTTTTTGTTTTGTTTTGATTCAGTAAAAAATATTTATAGGAACTTGAATTTTTAACTTATATTTGTCTTTTCTAGATGTGGTCGAATTTTCAAAACATTGTGGCTATTTTTAAGCTATTTATAGACATTTTAATTTTGCAAGGTTTTTATGTAAATTTTGTTTAGATACTCTGGGGAGATAATTGTTAGACTAAACAGAAATGCTAAAAAATTTAACAGGAGGTTCATTATAAGCCGTATTTAGTGGTAAAAATAAATGTTTAATGTAGTATTTTTTTATAAGAATTTTAATAAAATTCGTAAATATATTACGGCCTAATCTGTAAATACAAATCAACATTACAAAGCAACACTATTTACCGAAATCCGCTCAGAATCGTTTTTTATTAGCAATGGTTATTCATTAGTCATTCAATTTCTCCTCTATCTTCCCAAATTCTCACCTACATTAGTGGCCCACCCATCATGCGTAGTATGTCCGGATACAGATCTAAGATATTTTGCCTAATTTCAACACCTACGTGTAGGTACATTCAAATTAACGTTTTCGTAATTCTATTCTAACAGTTTAATTTTTAGTTTCTGAGCGAAGCGAGGGATGTATTAGTTTTACTAGTAATTACTTTTGTTTTTATATCTGTAAATAAATTTCCGAAATCTTACTCTGATCAAAACTTCACGTCACATGCATTCAAAATACCAATAAATTTAGTATTTTTTTTTTATATCCATTTTTCACAAAACGAAAAAATTGTACACATAATATAATCACTTTTCTCTGACTTTTTCAGACACACAAACTTCGTCAAATACGTTTAAATTATTAAGTTTCGATGCATTTTCGTTTAAAACAAATTTCGGAAACAGGATTTAAGATTTTGAGATGACAAATCATCATTGCTTTACTTAAAACTGTTTTTCAGATTTTAATGAGACTGTCTATCCGATACGGAAATCGCGATTACGTAACACGTGTACAATTGGTAAAGTACAAATCCATCAGTTATTTTTAAGCTGCGCACTCGCATCCGCGTAAGTATTGTTAATAGTCGACATTAAAAACGACGTTGCTGCACGGCCTTTGAGTGATGAAATAATACTCGAAATTCGACCGTTCTGCAGTGGTTCAATTCTATACCACTACAATATACTTTTGGATAACATGTCGTTAATCACAGATGTATACAATAAACTAGATAAAGGAAAAATCCCCAATAATAATATTATTATTGTTGTACTTTTTATAATGGAATAAAATTTCTACAATCGCTAATTAAAACCGCAGTACTTCTGGTGATGTATTTTTAATCAAATTTCACGATAGACAGATAACGCACGAACAATACTCCAGATAAGGATTCGGGACAATTTTCGAATTTATAAGCAAGTGAATTTGATTATTGTACATTTCGTGTAGATAAATGTTCATCTTCCCTCCCCCCACCGAAATCTAGTCAGAATTGTCTATAAATTGTCCTTAAATCTGTTAACTCTTTTTAATATTGGGCCTCATCGTAAACACTGCCGGCACCACAGCCAAATGAACCACGCGTTTTACACGATGTTTCCGTTTTCGAACAAAACACTTGTGGCCTACGTCGAAGAGCAGACGGCCGAGTCGAACAGTGCCTAATAATAACTCTCGGGGCGTGTTCCCACGACGCGTCCGTCCGCCGACTATCGAGCTAAACTAGTAAATTTCCGAGTCAGACCTCGTGATAAAAAAAAAAATAATAATACGCCGCCGCCGGTCTTGAAGTCATTCCCGTCCAACGCCCGTCGTAGTGTCGAATCAGTGGCGTACACACGGAGGAGAGGAGGGGGGAGTTGGGAGTTCAAGTCCCCCTTGGTATTTTTTTTTTTCAATTGTACGTACAAATATATACAAATAAAAAATAAATAAAATTTAAAAATTGTTAATCGTTTTTTTTTTTTTCGTGGTAAATTTGCAGTCGAAAATTACAATACACGAGGTAGTGATCAGACCAGTTATTTTGTATGCGTGTGAAACATGACCAACAACTAAAGGTGACGAAGACAAAATAGCAATCCTTGAAAGAAGTACATTGAGAAGAAGAATATTTGGGCCAAAAATAAATAACATCACCCAACAATATGAAATAAGAAGTAATGTAGAAATAAAACCGTTATATAAAGAACCAGACATAGTAGCTGTATGAAAATACAGAATAATGGCATGGGCCGGTCGTGTATGGAGGTCAAATGGTCTAACGAAAGCGGTATTAAAATGGAAACCTCATGGGAAAAGACCACTTGGCGGGCCTAAACAAAGGTGGGATGACAAAGTGGAAAAGAATTTAGCAGAGATTGGAATATTAGATGGAGAAATTCTATAGCGCCGGATAGAGACAGATGGAAGCAAATTCGTGTTGCGGTAATGGGCCTTAATGGCTTTTAGAACCGAAGAAGAAGAAGAAGAAATTTATAATTGAATTAGTTGGGAATTGGTACGAACGCGAACATGAGGGTCATCGAATATTTATAAATGTGTATTATATTAAAGCTATTGAATTTCTACGGCTATAACATTATATTATTTGATGTTCAGATTCCCGATAGGTACGTTGAACGTTCCATGATAACTGTGCAAAACGCACGTTATTTAATGTAAGCCCCTCCCCCCCGCTCTCATTGAGAATATCCGTGTACGCAATTGTGTCGAGTGGCGCACCATTCGCACCGAAATTATCGATTAATACTTAAGCACCACAAACTCACCACTTTCAGATGGCTGAGCGACGGTAAGACGGACTGCAGCTGGCTGACGGCTTGCATTATTTTGTCGCCCGACAACGGTTCGGAGCCGTTCAACAGGTTCATCACCTGGTCTTTGAATCCTCCTTCCATAGCGCACCCGAGGGGGACACCGGGCTAACGCCGTAACGGCGATTTTAATATTACAGTGTTTTACCGTGCTCGGCGGACAGACGATCGAAAACCGCGTGCAAATGCGCGTGACAGGAATGTACGAACGATACTACGGTCTGCGGTACGACGCGCGAACGGACGGTACGTGCCTATGTGGACGACAACCGGTGGACGGACAACGTTCGAAGAAACTTTTCGAGTCGCGACTGGGCCAACGGGGCGGACGGCGCGACCGCCGCGGTGTCGAGGTGCGGGCACAGCGTTCGTCGACCCCCACCCCCGACCGGCTAACCGGTTCGGTTGTTGTTTCGATGACGCGCGACGTGTCGTTGAATCGCGGTGGCGACGGGCGTTCCGACGTCATCACCGGTCGGCGGCGCGGCGTCGCGGCGCGCCGCGAAATGTGGCAGGGAGAACACTAGCGTCGAAAAACACGAACCGTTTTACACATGGTGCCCGGCTGCAGTCGGTCGAGCCGTCAACGTGAAAGGAAAACACTAGGCTCGACTAATCGCTATTCGGCCTATTATTTTCTTTTTCGTTTTCCCTTTCTTTTTTTCGTCGATTATTCGGGTAATAATACTGTTATGTAGACCTTGGTATGATATCGTTGTGCTCGTATTTGATTTTCTTTTTCTATTACAACCACACGTAATGTGCGGATAAATCCATAGACAAAATATTAACTCCATTTATTGTCTCTGTGTGAATGTAAATCAATTGCCATGATACACAAACACGGCCTTAAGAGATGGGGGGGGGCATCGTTCTCCATTCCCTAGCCATAATTCAGAAGAAAAAAAGCTGTCCTAGAATAATGAGGACGGGCGCAGCCACTATTGCAGGTTGGAAGTTGGGAAGGTGTGATATAAACGGGAATTTAATGTATATTAATTGTGTATAACTATTAACCGTTGCTAACGAAAAACGATTCTGAGCGGATTTTGGTTGATAATGTTGCTTTTTCAACAGTGTGTATGTCATATTATGGTAAAATAATTGCATATGTATTATATTTTCTATAATAATATTCATTTAATATTGTACCTATTTCCCCGTTCTCCGTTGTCCCTCCGTCTTTTTCCGGTTTTTCCAATATATTGAGAAACCTCCTGAGAAATCAAAAAATGACCTCCCTAAAGTACCTCTCCAGTCAAATTTCCTTTCAAAAAGTGTTATCATTGTAAATCAGAGCAAAATTTCCGGTATAAAAAAGTTGTGCAGAGACATAAAAAATAATAATAAAATCATCTTTGTAAAACCATAAGCTTCTTCGCTTTCGCTTCGCATAAGCTTCCACACAAAATCTAAAACGCCATTACAATGAGTTCAAACATCTCTGAAATAAAAATTGATCTTTAGTTTGTATTTAAATTTTAAATATAATAATATAATTTATAGCAACATGACGATCAAATATTAAACTTATATACTTTACACACTCCCTCCCTTCCCACCGAAATACTTCTTTGCAATCACCCTTGTATCATCTCCTTCCCCGTGAAATTAACTTGAAGAAGTCCCTAATACCAAGATTTTGTAAGTTGTATGGATACTTACGTCTTACACCTACCTCAAAAGATGCGGATTTTCCGCCTAGTGGTTTATTTATTTAACTTCTGTGTCACTCCGCGTTCTCTCTTACCCCACTAGAAATATTTCTTTATTTTAGATTCTAGCTTATGGTTTTACAAAGATGTTTTTTTTTTTTTTATTATTTATATGTGCCCAACTTTTCTATCAAAATACTTGCTCAGATTTCTACGTGTAATACTTTTTCTGAAATGAAATCGGTGTAAGGAGGTACTTTAAGCAAGTCATTTTTTGATTTTCTCAAGAGCTTTCTCATCAAATGCAAAAAACCGAAAATAAACGGGAAAATGAATGAAATATAAAACAAAATAAAATATTACGATTTTTTTTTCCTGTGTACAACTTTTTAACCAGCAATTTTTTCCAATTTTTAATGACAGCAATGTTTCTAAAAAGAAATTTTACTAGGGAGGTACTTAAGAGAGGTCATTTTTCGATTTTATTAGGAGTTTTCTCATCAAATTTATAAAACCTGAGTAAAACATGGGAAAACCGGGAAAAACCTAGGAGAACCGGGGAAATCGGTATAACATTAAACGAGTATTATTAAAGAAAATATATAGAGTCTCTTTAATTATTTTACTTTTATATGGCATTTATATTGTTGGCAAAGCATCACTATCAATTGAACTCGGTTCAGAATCGTTTTTTCGTAAGCAGTAGTTTATCCTTGCTTACAGGTATACATTAAATTACTAATAACAGTAGCTACACCCGCCCTCATTATCCTAGGATGGTGTTGCCTTAATTCTACTTAGCTCAAGACCTTATCATCCAGTGTATTAAAGTATGTTCTCGTTACTTCATATAATCCAATGTCTCAAGGATTATAATCAAAATTAATAAACAACGTTTTTATTACGGGAAAACAGTTTCCACAATGCGAGAACCATTCGGGCTAACATTTAACAATTTTTATTACATTTTTATTAAAGTTATTATTATTTTGAAAATAATTATAATAGGCCCGTTCAAAATACACGTCTCTTATCTAAAGATTATTTTTCATATGTGTGGGAGTTCAATGAACCCATGTCAGAAAACAGCTTTCACCAAACACTCTGTATTAATATTGCATTCCAACGTTTGCAAAATATTTTCGTTGGTTTTAACCATAGTGTTAGTGTTATTCTTTAGTTTTAGTAATTATGTATCAAAAAAACGTCCTAGGATAATGGGAACGGAGACATCCACTGTTAGAGATAATTTAATCTATACCAGTAAGTAACGACAAGTCATTGCTTACGAAAAAACGATTCTGAGGAGTGTTCAGTTGATATTGATGCTTTGTTAAAAATATATATGCCATATTACAGTAAAATAATTAAATAGGCTCTATATATTTTCTCCAATAATATTTGTTTAATGTTGTACCGATTCTCCTGGTTTTCCTACGTTTTTCCCAGTTTTTCACATTTACTGAGAAACTTCCGGAGAAAATCGAAAAACAACTTATCTTAAGTACCTCCCTAGTGAAATTTCCTTTTAGAAACATTACTGTCATTAAAAGGTGGACCAAAATTGCTGGTAGAAAAGTCGTGCACAGAAAAAAAGAAAGTCGTAATATATTTTAACTAATACCTATATATTACTTATATTTTCCCGTTTTTCGTCGTTGATTAGAAAACTTCTAAGAAAATTGAAAAGTTATCTGCTTAAAGTACGTCCCCACACCGATTTCTTTTTAGAAAAAGTGCTACACTTAAAAATCTGAGCAAGTCATCTGGTAGAAAAGTTGCATACAGTTTAAAAATAAATTAAACATCTTTGTAAAACCATAACCTTCTTCGCTCCACTGAGAAACTAAAAGAACAATAATTATCGTTGTTCAGCCGACACCACGCAAAGAGTAGATAACCAGTAATTCAGTGTTGTGTTTTATCTTTTCTCCAGATATAATTATATTTATAATTTATTAATCATGTTATAAACAATCAAATAAGTGTGTACTAAGCACAACAGACTATTTATTCTTTGAATTCTTTTATTGCGAAATTTTCGATTTTATTATTATTTAATTAAAAAATTTAACGTGGATAATTTTTTTTATTTATTGTATTCTATGCACCTACGTAACTGTAGAACAATAAAATGTATAATGTAAAGTCCCATTAAATCGCAAGACCATAACGATTTTACAATACGAAAATGTTAAACATAAGCAAGTGATGTGTTCGGCCCGAATAACGACACGCAGGGCGAGCACGTCGATTTTGTATACCACTCACTATTATGTAGGTATTTATATGGTGGGATGATGGGGTTTTTAATTAATTTCAAAACAATTATTTTTATTGTTACCTACGTACAGGTATACTGAAAACCCTTTCAAGCCTAGTCATTGTCTACTCGCGTGACTATTTTCCATTTGTTAAAACTACCTATATATTAAACTTATATTATAGGTAATAATAATTAATGTTCGTTGAAAATTTCAGGTCTCTACGATTTTAAGCACAGCGATGAACATAATGGTTTTACTATGTGTTCTATTATTTTTCGTTTTTCTGTATTTGTTAACAGTTTTTCTGTAGAAATCGTTCTCCAAATTTCAAGTGTAGTAACTTTTCTGAAAGTAAATTTTGTCTAATTGGTGCATGGTGTATTTAGTGTACTTCCCAGGAAGTCGTATTTTTAGTTTTCTTTTTAACTTTCTTAATATCAGAGAAAATGGGGAAAGTTTACGAAATTACCATTTCTGTTTTAATATTAGCTTATACTAGAGAATCTGGTATAATTATTTTGGAGATTTTTGAGTTGTCTATTCTATATAATGAAAAGAAGTGGCTGTTTTTTAGTAACGTGTAATCTCGTAAATTGCATGGCCGATTGTCTTGAAATTTAGCATAGATGTTCAGTTTGACCTCAAGAATGTTAGTGTAAACATGAAAATCACCCTGAAGAGGAGGTTGAAATTCTAAAGTTTTAAAAAAATAACATTTATATAAATGAATATATACAATGTCGTTGTTATGAAGTTATTTTTTTTATATCATTTATTTTTTTATTATTTAGTTTTTATTTCTAGTAAACATTCAAGTTTTAATATTCAGATCGGTAACATATAAAATCGAAACCTAAAACTTGTGTATTTAAATGGTGATATTAAAGAATACAAATAATAACTTACAAGTTATAGTGAATTTAAAGTAATTTTTGAAAAAAACAGTGCAATTAAAATAAAATATTAAAATACCTTTCGGTGGAGATAAGTTAATATTTATTGAAATAGAAAGATCCAAAAATAAAAAATAATAAAAATCATCTGGTCTATTTGTTGATATGATACGTATTATAATTATTTTCGCCACTTTCGTAGAATTGGTATAATATTTACAATTAAATATTTAATCTAATATTATTTTTTTAATATTGAATGACGATACCGAGAATTTATTCAATGACGTCGTCACTATTGAATGATGTCACTATCCAATGATTAAAATATTAAATTATACAAGATTGATATAATGCTCGAAAAATGTTTCTCGTTGCTCCGAAAAAAATATTTGCTATACAATATACTGATTTGTATAATGATTAAGTACAATTAGACGTTATGCGAACTAATTAAATCAATTGAATAATTTATCACTTATTATTTGAGA